ATTGTCATTCTCGGATTATTTGAGGGTTAGAATTAAATTCTATAATCGCCTACAAGTACTAACAATTGACTTTGGTTGAACTTCTATCAATATCTGCCACAGAAGTCACAGGAAGATAATAGAACCTCTTCCTCCAACCTCTGGGCTGATGTACAATTTCTTATAAAAATTCCAAACAGCAAGGAACATATCGCTAGAACCGGGATTAAAACTCAGCACGTCACCTAACCTGATCTCAGTTACCAACGATAACACCATGTAAGTACAGGTATCAACAAATAATTATGAATAAGCTTGCCTCGTTTATTAAGTCCGCCATATTGGTTCCTTCTTAAATTAAAAATCCATTTTAGAGTTTAAAATATATTAAGGAATGGGCTGGACTTAAACTGACATCCTCACTGTTCCGTGCTGTTGCTCTATCAAATTGAACTACCGTATCTTACACGTCTTCGTCCAGTTTTTTCAAACGTTCCAAACGTGCACCTCTCGTGCAATGTAATTTCAACTTCCCTTCTTATCCACATTCTCCCTGCATTGATCTATTCAGCTATATTGTGGCTACTTAAATAAATAATGAAAAGACCAGTATGCAAACGTGTAACACCTGTAGTATTTACATAAACTTACTGAATGACATTGGCAGAACGCCAAATTACACGAACCGCCCATTCATAGCCCGATTAACCTTGTTCCATCAGATTATCCAGTATCCGCGAATGGACGACGCTCCCTAATCTCATTATCTGTGCATTTTATTGGACAGATATCGAACACGTGATCAAACATTCTCGTGAGAATCGAATAGAGATATAAACGCCAGGTAAGCTTGATCCAGCTTTGTGGAACATGATAGTAATGTTACAAGCTGTGTCTGAATTTTATATTAAACATGCTGCGTTCCTTTTAAATTATATAACTACTTCTATGACTTGTATGTGGTTATACGTGTTGCCTAACATGGTTTCCGTTGAGCAGGGCATAGAAATCTGCTTAAAACTATTTGTCTATAAATTAAATCCTATCAGTGTAACGGACACAAACGCGTTTGAGTGAGTATAAAATTACGTGTACGGATGAAAAAAAAATTTTTATTGAAGTATTATCCCCTACATATTGAAATCTAATTTCGTATTTGATAATTTGAGGAAGATTATTTAAGAAATAAAAATTATAAGATTTGGTTGCACCTAACTGACAAAAGGATGTTTTTAATACTCATAAAACAAAAAAAAATATCTATAGTATCCATACAGATGAAGTGTATCGTAGGTGTAAGTTTCTTGATAAAGTAATACGAGCATTGGAAGATAAAAATACGCAAGTGCAAAATAAACAAAACCTATAAAATGTAAGAAGAAATTCAACCAAGGTCCCTCAGAAAGAGTAATACAGCCACAAAATAAAAAGTCGAAACATTCAAAAACACACACTTCCAAATCCTATTGTTATTTAATATTCATACTTTTAGGTTTATAATGAGAAATACTGTCCCAATAATAGGTCTAACGCATGAAATGACCGGACTGCGGCTTTTTTCGTAATTAAAGCCTATTGTTGTACAAAAAACGAGTATCATTTTACTATTCAGCGTTTATTTGCTAAAAGTAATATAAAACATTTATAGCCAGTGTTCTGCATACACCAAACATTTAAACTGCAACGGATCGACAAGACAAATAGATATTGAAATACGGTTTCGACACTGAAGTTTTCGACTGATGCATTTTCTGATTTCCTCTTGCACTTAATGTTTATTGGAAAGTTGTGAACTCTCTTTAAAGACTTATTCCTTGGTACTTACTAAAATGCCCATCTGTGGGATATGGGATAAATACATCTGTGTTCCTTTTAAGGTCGATTTTGTTCTTAATAGTTCATCAGACTTCCCTTATTTTATTTTCCAAAATTCAAACTCACAACTCTTTTAACCATTGCGCTATCGAGATATTCTTGTTAAAAATGGAGTTATTAAAATATTTAATGTATTATACGTAAATAAGAAATTTAGTAAATTTAAAATTATTTTTGTAAGACGTTGCAGTTCGTTCTAAGATTTTCTTTAAAAATGTTTATCTTTTATTTTGTTATAAGTCGACTGTGAAGAGCAAGTGATTTTTACTGAAACCTAAAATATTGTCGGTTTTCCCTTTTTTAAAATAATTATAATAGATTATCCAATAACTTATTTTAATTGTATTTAAAATCTTATATCATAAAGTCTTTTTAATCAAATTTTTCATGTTTTTCTCATTCCAATACACTTAAAATAATTCTATACTTTAGTGTTGATAACGTGTAGCTTAAGGACAAAACATTACACTAACACAAAATGTACACCGCCCTGGAAAATCTAAAGTATAACAAGAACTGTTTTTAAATTTAACAAGAACGGTTAAGGCTGTACCTGGTACGGACACAATAAGACTTGACGACAGGCATTTCAATCGAATGATAATAGCTTTTCGTTATTACGTAGGCTTCATTTTAATTTCTTGTACCGACAACAAATTGATTTTCCTGGCTGATATTATGCGCATTGAAATCAATCTGTAATGTATTTCTGGTTCTTCTATATTGTCTTTGGAAATGTACTTTCTGACTGGTTCTTCTATATTGTCTTTGGAACTCTTTTCTAGACAATAGACATCGGTGATACAGATAAAATTTAAAAAATAAATATTGAAACGGTTGGATTTCTATGCGAGTGTCAAAACATTATCTGCCCAATGCAAAAGTTTCCTGTCCAAAAGTTAATCAATCTACAGTTAAATAAAACACTGTAACGGTTTAAAATACGATATATTAGTTAAACTTATTAGAAAATGATTTTTACCTTTGGCCTGACGTTTCGGAAGCTTTGCAGCAGCCGTGGTCACGGGGACTATTATACTAATATATATCGCGTTTTAAACCGTTAAAGTGTTTTATTTGTGTGTAATGTACTCGCGTAAACTGTAGGCAGTATTTAATCTACAATTAATTTAAAATATCTTACTGTTAAAATAAGTGATTTTATAGGTAAGTTCAGATTACTAAAATTTTACATATAATTCATAGCCTTATGGCCATAGCACGCTTAGCGCTATTGGCCATAAAATTATTGAACTTTTTTTAGCAAAATCTATCAATTATTATAGCTTATAAATATTCACATATAGTCTACAATATAATTCACTGATCATGGTGCGACTGGTCGTGCGCATTCGATCCATTTCTCAAACGTAAGATTAGTCGCAGTTGACGTAAAAATCTCAATAAAATGTACTTTTATTGTGCTCATTCATCGTTTTTTATCTGATTGCGTGCTAAATTCGTTGCGTGGTACAAATGTTTCTAAATCAACAATATTATTCAGTCTCATTATATTTCACTTGAATTTATTTTAAATAAATTACTTTGAACACGTAAATGTATCTACGTTTTTATTAACATTATACAGATTAAATTGAGTAGGTATAATAATTATTTTAAAACATAAACACGTACGTCAAACTCTAAAATGCAAGAGAAAAAAGAAAGTATATATCGGTATCTGGTGACGAAAAACACAAACCTACATAAAGATAACGACGAGAACCCAAAATGTTAACGTAAATGTGATGTGACTATTACCTAGTATGAAAATGCTACTATTTCTGAATCTATAAGAATATTAAGTTACACAAACTTACTTGCATATGTTCCTAATATTCAAAATGGGTGAGATCGTAAAGCTTGTAGCTCGTCCCGACCTATTTTAACCCTCCACTGCACATCACTTGTTACTCAAACAAACAATGGTACTTGAAATGGACCACGCAACATTTTTATCGAATGCAAAATTTTATTTGTATCAAAACCTGTACAGAATACGAACGTTATATACGAAGTCGAATATTACCACCTACTTTAATAAAAACTTTTATAAACATTTCATCTAAGTAATTTATGTGAAAGAAATACTCACTTATTTAATACTTTTGACAGCAATAATACAATATAATAGAATTTGTTTATTCATAAACAACATTTACAATTAAAACTTAATCTATAAAAAATTAATAAGACTATAGTTGCCTCTAAAAAGGAAACCACTCAGCTACGTTAGGACTGATGTCCCAACACTGATATTCTGTGGGGCCACAGAAATTCAGAGAAACTTACACAATAAAACTTTTATAAAAAGTAGTATTGACAAAAGCTATTACAGTGAAAATTGTTTATCTGTTGCCCGCTTTGGTTTTACATAATCGATGAGATATGTAATTAATGAAACCCGTATATCATTTATCCACAATTAAATTTTTAGAGTGAAATCTTTTTAAATGCAATACTATTCAGTAGAAGTATGCATAAACTATTGGGAAAAAAAATAACCCCCCCCCCCCCCCCGGGCCCCCCCCCCGGGGCCCCCCCCGGGGGGGGGGGGGGGGGGAAAGAAAAAAAAGGGGGGGGAAAAAAAGGGGGGGGGGGGGGGGAAAAAGGGGGGGGGGGGGGGGGGGAAAAAAAAACCCCCGCGCCGGGGGGGGGGGGGGGCCAGGCCCCGCCGGGGGTTTTTTTTTTTCAATTTATACTTGATTCTAATATGAACCATAGATGGTGAAATTTATATTCTTTTTTTTTTTTTTTTTTAACAACCCCCTCCCCCCCCCCGTGGGGGGTTTTTTTTTTTTGCATCCAAAAAAAAAAATCCCCCCCCCCCCCCCCCCCCCCCCCCCCCCCCCCCCCCCCCCCCCCCCCGCCCCGGGGGGGAGAGAAAAAAAAAAAAAAAAAAAAGGAAAAAAAAAAAAAGGGGGGGGGGGGGGCAGGGGGGGGGGGGGGGGGGGAGGAAAAAAAAACCAGGGGGGGGGGGGGGGGCCCCCCCCCCCCCCCCGGGGGGGTTTTTTTTTTTTTTTTATCCTTGTTTTTTTTTTTTATGAACCGGTGGTTTTTCAAACTTCTGCACCACTAACCACTAATAAACTTAGGTAAGTATTTTTGTCATACTTTAATAAAAATATTCATATTCAATTCTCTATTTAGCGACGCTGTGTGCTCTCGTAGATTCGCTCCAACCGCGCTACGCCGGGGGCGACTATGAAATTCTCTCTTTTTTCTAAACAGTGTCAAGGTTTGTTTGAATTTGAACTAAGCATAACATCTTTGAATTGTTTAAATTAAATTTTCTCCCCGTAACCACGGCATCTGAAGCATCCGAAACGTGAAGCTGTAGTTAAAATAAGTTTCAAATAAGCTTTACTAATATATATTGCGTTTTAAACCGTTAAAGTGTTTTATTGAAATGTGTACTAGTCGCCACAACTACAGACAGCCTTTATAGAAAACTACTTACTGATCGATTTTCATTTACAGCCAAGTAGTTTCACTTCGGTTGCCTATCTAAACATATTTGCTATGTCCTAGAGTTCCAAACCATGTTCTTTGATGTGCTATGCGATAAACCATTAAGCTGCGAGGGTCAGAGTATATTAAAATTTACTACTAATAATATATGTCGCTTAAATTAGCTAATGTTTTGTCTGAATCAAGAATATCTACGACGACTTAACGATGCATTAGCAGATATAATTCGATTGAAAACCACTTACCACAGGTATTATTTGTCATAATTACCTAATTATATATAATATAGATTATAGAATATTGTCACCACAACTGTTTCTGGTTTAAGAGTATCGATCGTTTTATATATCATTATATAATCAAAATGTATCATCTACTAAGGGAGGATTTTGACACCAAGCTAATGATAAGAATTTTCAAATGATTGTGGGTTCGTAGTGATTTCAAAATATTGTAATATATTAATATATAATTAGGTATCTTGAATGAACTCCTCCTGTTCATTTTATTCAATAATTAGCTGTGCCAACGACTTCGTCCGCGTAGAATAGATATTTTGGGAATCAAAATTTGTCGTTACAAACCGCCTCATCTTTGACTAAGATTTCTAGATTCACATTTCCCACTGTATCTTTGCCTTCATTGATGTATCGTACCTTAAGCCTTCCTCGATAAATGCTCTAACCAACACACAAATTTCAAAACCCACCACTAGTTCCTGAGATTTGCGAGTTTAAACAAATAAACAAATAAAGTCTGTTTGTTTGTTTAGTATAAATATAAAATTAATAGTATAATATAATGTATTAATATAAATAAGCTGTATATATGCACCTTTTGAAGGCCGAAACGGTGGTCAAACATTGACCACTGGGTATTTAAAATGGAGCATCTTAGAGCAAATTTTGAGGCATTCAAATGTTATTTTTATGCCGCAAGAAAGGAAGATCTGATGACATAACGGTAACAAGAGATTCCAGTCGCATTGCGGATCTCACTTTCACCAACCGTATTTATAAACCGCAATTAACTCCCTTTGTTTCGCGTTTTAATAAAATACCCGGACCGTTTACAGCAAACGAAACAGAAAAACCTAGTAATAAACTGTGCGTGCGTTCATTTTATAGCACTGAATTAACTGCGGATTCGAGCTTAAAATATAAATTTACTACGTCTCTTGTATAATATATGTGCCACATACACTCTTTAGAGGTATGAAAAGATATACAGGCTTCTCTAAAAAGATACACTAATTTCAGTAGAGCTGCGTGCAGCTATTTTTGACCTTAATATTTCTGGACGATAAACATAACGAATGTTTTAAATATGTGTTATTGATAGTCTTTTGTTTGAATTAATATTTTGATTTATATGATCCAAACATTTCTACATAACATATTTATGTTAACAGCAGCGTATAAACAAATTATAAAATGTCATCCCGTTTCTCTTATATAACATGACGCACTTCTACGTCTAATCTATTGATTGATTTCTATTATTAGACAAAAAGTTATCTTCTCAATTATGTTTTACGGGGTTCGAACCCAGTACCTCTTGGTCACAAAGCAAAACACTAAATGTATCTATTAAGTAATAGGAGCGGTGATTAATTGTTGTGTTAGCGTAAAATAAATCAACTGGAATGGAGTCAAAGTGCGTCATAATTATGACGCGATCATTTGTACACGCTTCGTTTGTGTTCAACAACACGACATATGCGCGGCAACTGTTCGCTAATTCTGGAATGACAACATATTATATAAGTATTAATATAAGGACACCCGAATATTGTTCCGTAATAAAAAAATATATGTATTTATATGTGGGTGTATCATTAATGGCCGACTGATAAGCTTACATTTCTCATTGGGGAGAGGGTTTAAAAGCTTAGACCCATCACGCGGCTTCATTCCACTTCATGCTCCATTAAATTAACCAATACTGACTTTTTTACTTTACATTATTGTTTTATATATTTTTTTATTATACTAGCTGGCATGGCTAACGTTCTTTGGCTTTGTTTTAGAAGTCTTTCTAAAAAAATATTTTACGTATATACAACAGATAGACATATACTGCGGGCATTCTTTTATACTTATTTTTGGGTATCTTGAAGCGTTTCGTTTACTGCAGTGCACGCAACGAAAATCATCAAAGAATAATTTTTCCCGTTGTTTCTTTCTTTCTTCGCTCCTATTTGTCGCATCCTATCCTATCCTATGTTATATCCTTCTCCAATAAACACATTTTTTTACCAAGCCCAAAGTAACACTTTTTTTTTAATTCGAACCATTATTTCCTGAGATTAGCGCGTTCAAACAAACAACATGAGTAGGGATAAATACTTTTGTAGTTTACGGAGTTCCATTTCAATAAACATAATGCTTTGCACCGTGGTCCCGGGAGACCGAAGAACTCAAATAAGTTCAACTAATATATATCGCGTTATGAAACGTTAAAGTGTTTTAGTTAAATTAGTATGTATACTTATATAATATATAATATTTTAATCTTCAATCTAAATACAGTTCGTACATAGAAATGTTGTTTCTTACTTATATTCTTATAAGGCACTAAGATGAATTCGCCCAAAGTCTTTCTACAAAATTCAAGTCTATGTTATTATTTTTTTTAAGCAAACGCTCCAAATTAAATAATGTCTCGGTGGTTTCATTTAATTTGCGAAATGATCATTAATTATAAAAACGTTTTCCGGACTAATTGGAGCACAAGTAGAGCGTAACGTATTTAAAAATATTAACATCCATTGCCTACTTATGCACGGCTTTTTGAGTTCTGCGCTTTGAACAAAAAAAACATTTAACACCCTTTCGAAACGTACAATTTTTTTTCAGGGTTATTTCTAAACATTGCACGGGTTAATTCTCAATCAAACATTTTTTTATCAAATTTTTAAAAATAATACATACTTAAGCAAATGTCAGTGTAATTTATACAAAACTTGAACACGAACAAAAAAGTGAAACAAAAATTAAATAATATAATTTTTTGGATTATTTATTTCACTCATGTAAGTATTTTTTTAAAAGCAAGAGATACATTTTAAAAGAAAGGCTTGAATCGTTTTTTTTTATCCTTACCTGCCACATACATTTTTGGCAGTCAAAATTTTTACTTACGCTCCTACCATAGATAAAGTTTTCCCGCCAAAAAGTTATCACAGATCTGTGGTAGCACCTACCTGGCGGCGACTTTTCCGGCGTCGGCGGTTCCTCGTGGTGGGTCCTTAGAAGCTGTAAAGCGAACTCTGTCCCCACTTCTTCCGATCTCGGACACGGCACATACGCGTATTGTTTCTTCGCCGGGATGGGCGCGACGCGGTGTTTGCCACGGTCTGCCATGCGGCGTCTGACGGATAACGCAACCCCAGGCGCGCTATCGATAAAGCTGGATCGGGTGCAACCGATAACCACATTACAACACTATTCATAAGCGGACAAAGTTTGTTATACCTCGAACTTTACGTTTACTCTTAACGCGAGCTTTAGTTCGAATAGCAATTGTGAAATTCGCAAGTTGAGCAACCATTTCTGATTATTTAGCATAGAGTTGACGAGAGTTAACAATGAGTTTTAAATATCTTCTATGTGTAATTCTGACATATAGTATATAATTTTATATTTTCTTTGACACAATATTAGATACATGTTAAATATATCTCTTTGTCAGATGAGGCATAATTTAACATCAATATATAATATAAACACTGACTTAATTTTCTTTTCAAGCGTAGTAAAATAATGCAAAATGTTTAATAAAAATCAGAGGTTTATAAAGAAAATGTCTTATTGAAAAGCTCCGATTTTTGAAATTTTAGGCCTCTAAATTTTAACAATCATTGCTAATTCAGCGATGGTACATCACTATGTCTGTGCGCGCGCAAGGGCACAGGGTCCGCACTACAACGGTCGATAGCACGTGAACGCGGGAAACGGGATGCACTGGGATGCTGGCTGGTGCATTCAAAAATTAAAAAGTTAACAATACTTTAACTATTTCCACAAATACGCATTATGTAGAATTTCGTCGTCCGCATTCTAACTGTTTTTGTTATCATCTTGGACTTTAATAGATTCACTCACAAAGATGAAATTCGGTTAAATTAGCTGTTTTAAAAAATGTTGTCGTCCTTCTTTTAAACTTTAAAATTATAGAAAATTTGGAAGTTTTTACGTATCCAGAACTACTAACCTATGGAAATGCATCTACCTTAAAATTATCCCGCTGGAGTTCGTAGGAAGATATATTGCTTGCCCGGTATCGTAAATTTATACACCAATAAAGAAGATTGTAGAGATTCAAATAATAAAGACCAAGATTTTGATGTTGTCGTTATTCGATGTAAGCTAAAAATACCAATTACTATCATGTAAAGCTTTGTAAATTATTCAACTTTACCCTATAATATTGAAGTAGCCAGTAAGAATTTTAGGAAAAAGGAGGTTTCAAGCAATGAATTTATAAACGCACAACTTCTAGACGCAATGTGACGCAGTGACGGTTACAATGTATATATATGACACATCGAAACTCCAAGGGATGATTTGTTATAATTATATGACGAATTCAAGTAAATAATCGCTTAGCAAAAATTTTACTTATTTATTAAGCAGTTTTACTTCTATACACACTCTCTTCTTTACATACTCTAAGTATGTTAAGTCAAAATTAAGCCACTGGCTTATTAGAGGACCAGAAAGAGCACAATCCAAGGATGACCATATTTTTTTTACCTAGCAGTGTTCCTGATTTTTTTTATGTCACTCCTATATTTTTTTCAGATATTTAATTTAATAATATGATTTTTTTTTATGATTTTCAGTTTTGTATTTCCAATGACCGCCTTGTAGCCAAATGGTTAAACGTAATGCATTGCGTTAACCGCGAGAGGTCCTGGGTTCGAATCCCACGGAAATAAAAAATTGTTTCGGTCAGGCAGGGCACGGAAGTCAGATCAACTACTTGCCTATTAAAGAACGAATCAGTGAAACGGACACAAAAATGTGTTCGCCCCATGCCCCACGAGGGGGAAACGGATTTTCACACTTTATTTCCAATGTCGTTAAATTTACGCGTTAAATTAGTCTAGTCGTACATATTAAGTTAGTACGTATAATAGTATCTTAATATGACTTAATACTTAAAAAGGACCTTGCTATATAACTATTACTATACACTTGCTATACACATTACGAAGTACAATTTATATAACATATCGAATCCAGTAAAGTTTCGTAGTTTATACCGAATTTCTTCCCTCGAGTGTTACACTCGCTAGAAGTACTTGCAGATAAAAGCCTACTTTATTACGATAGTAAAGAAAAACAAAACCACTTGAACCTTCGAAACGTTTCAGAATTAATTTTTGAACTAGAAAGCGAAGTAAGTCATTTTATGAATTTTTCAGTTATGAATTGCCTAACGCAAAATTGCGCATAGCTACATACTTATTTTGGTATGTATGCAGAGAGCAACAGCACGGAACCTTGTGGTTGCCGGCTCAAGCCCCGCCCGTGTCGTAAATTTTCTTCAATCTAAAATCAATTTTTAGTTTATGGACGCAGTATTTATAAATATTGTGGAGTACGTGTACTGATTATTCTGAATATAATAACTTAAAATCTGAGTATTCTACTTTGATATGCATGGCAATTATCATTTAAGTCTAATAATTAAACACTTTTAACTGTTTAAAACGCAAAATCTATAGGTTAACTAATTTTTTATGGATAAGTATATCAGTATTTAGTACCTTTCCCGGATATCCCCCATGTCCATAGCTGCTGCATAGCATCCGAAACGTCGGTACGCTGTTAAAATTCAATGATAAAAGTAAACTAACATATTTCACGTTTGAAACTGTTAAAGGTATGTATTTTATTAAAAAAGAAATATTACCAGCCAACTAAGAATGCAGATTGTAGGGTCAACAAATACGAAGTGTTTGAATGTTACACGTCAGCTTTTTAGGTCAACGAGACGAGACAAAGATATTCAAAGTCGGAGAATCTTAATTAGAAGAGAATGTGTCTGCAGTGGCACGGATGTCATGAACCAACTACATTACACCCTCGGAAATATAAATTCACTTTAACTCTCAGCTGGCATAAGTTTACTTTTACTTCGAGTTTCAACGTTGAAACTTTGTATGAATAAGGTTTTATAGTACATATATGAAAGCTGTTTACGATGCAAACTTTTAAAGTATGCTTTTATTTAAACAAATTAATTACGTTATTTCGTATTTTCTTTCGTCTATTTAGTATTAATTTTTAGCGTACTGTTTGCTTGTGACAGACTAATAATGCCTCAACACTAACTTCTAATTATGCGATGTCGTCCTATTTTACCATTTGACAATCGGACTATATTTCAATGTGATTATATTACAAATCCATTAAAGTTTATATAACACAAATTGTGATTCAGCTTTGGTCAGCATAGTAGAAGGAAGGGACCCTCGGTTTTATATGAAACTAGGTAACCTTTTTCTTAATTATGAACATGTTGAATTTATTTTGTCTAAATACGTAGTGGAAAGATGTATTTCTAGAATTTTCCGAACCTATGTAAGCTTTTAACGAAATTTTAAATATGTTAAAGACAAATGTAAATATTCCACCTAAAAAGCCCACAAGTTCATTAAATTCTCATTTTGGCACAATGTTCGCATTTGTCTTAATTTCGGCGGCAAAATCATTTTCTACGCCTCGTTTCATTGCTTCATGCTAATATTGCAATAACTACATATTTAAATAACACAATAATCTTAGGTACTTTTATCCTTTTTATGAAAACACTTTAACGACTTAAAACGAGATATATTTTAGTTAAACTAGCTTGAGAATTAGTTTTGTTTGTGTCTCCCCGTGACCACGGCTGCTGCAAAGCATCCGAAACGTGGAGCCGTAAGTAGTTAAAAGTAATTCTCAAACAAGTTTAACTAAAATATATCGCGTTTTAAACCGTTAAAGTGTTTTATTTAAATGTGTACTCCTCGCGTAAACTACAGACAGTATTTAGTTTTATCCTTTTTCTTTCTCGATGTCGTAGGACTCGGCAGCAATTAGGTATCTACGTTAACACTATATGCGTTGAAAAGATATACATTTAAGGCTTAAATAAATAACCTTTCCTTGCTTAAAACGCGGTTTATATTTATTATTAGGTACGAACTGTCATTTCGGGTCCCTTACACACAAGATGGCTGTCCTGTCTATACAGTTGCTGTAAAGCAGCATCCATAACGGCGGGTCGTAGTTACGTATTTCGCGTTTTAAAACGTCAAAAGTGTTTTACTCAACTGAACAATACATATTTAATTGAATATTGTTTAATTCCGCATGGCAAAGCGAGTAGTTTTAACTTTATTGAATCTTTTACTGTTTTTTTATATGCTAGCCTATCTATCTCGCAGTATTTAGGTTCACAACAAGAAAATAAAATGCGAATAGTGATGCTATTTAATTAAAATGAAATACATGAGTGGGTTAGTAAGCGGAACCTGTCACCATTAGAGACGAATATACGAAGAAGAAATGCAAAACGCCACAAACACTTATCCATTATTTATTTGCCGAATTGATACAGTTACTTTTGGTTGAGCCTTTAAACTAGATGAGGTTTAATGACGCGGGGCGATGGCGTAAACATATGATGTGTTTAGCAGAAGTGCATGTCCGTGAACGTTTTCTTGTCCTTGAAGACCGGACCCCAGGAGCCATAGTTCTTCTGCTCTGGCTTCTTCACTGGCGCCGGCTTGTCAGCGAATGGTTTTCTGTAAATGTAAGAAAAAAATCGTTGGTAATATATATAAAAACCTAAATATGGCGGAGAACTAATTTCTAAGCAAAAAATAGGTCGACAGTGCATTGTTTAGATATTTAATACGACTGATAATTCACCTTCCATCAAGTGACCTCCGTGATTGTCTGTACGAGTGGAAATTATATGTTGCTGGACTTTTTGCGTTGCAAATACACTTTTGGTGCGAGATATTACTAAAAACACGCCTCTGGTTTTATTTTATTAACAAACGAAATTATCAATAGATCCCGGTAAATGAAAGCTAGAACTTTCATTATAGCTAGAACAATCAACAAAGTGACAATGGAGCTTGAATCGTGTGCACAGCTGTGCAAACATTAAATTCCAATAATGGATTACTCTAACAATATTTTCAATATATCTAAGGTTCTTATATTAACTCTCAAATGCATATGAACCTACTTTTGCTTTATGGCATATACTCTAAGGGACAAATTAAAAAAAAACAAGAGAGAAAAGTTCTCAATATAAAATTAATGTGTAAACTTTAGTATTTTTCACATGTAAAAAAATTACTACACGGGCAGGACTTGAACCTAATGAATAATGCAGACTATGGGGCTTAAGATCTTGAAATAAATCAAAATTGTTATAATAATAGTACATTATTAGTCTCGGGTTCGAATCACACCTGATGTAAAATATTTAACTGCCTTCAATTTAAATACATAAATGTCAAAAAATTAGCGAAAAAGCGACAATGTTTTATACTATGTAGTGATTGGTAAGCTTCTTTGAAATAAATACATTTATTCTATCTTTCCTGTTTAAACCCAATTACTTACTTCATTGTTGTCGGGAATTCGAATTGTTTGACAAATGATGCCTTGGTGGCAATTTTGCTTTCATCTCCACGGGCCATCGTAAGCTATGAAGTGATGGATGATGGGTGAAAGAGGCTGCCAGCAGCTGATCTACGGTACGTGCTGGATGTGGGTGAGCACTGCGTGTTCCAGACGGTTGCCGGTGTTCGCCCGACGACTGCCTTTTCGGGTGCACAGGTTTTTAGCGAGCCTGGAAACGTTGACAATAGTTATATGACTTGTTTTGTCAATGAATTAATTGGATTTTCATTAATGCTAAATAGGACAAGTATTATTAAATTTATTAGACTCCCCGTAACCACGGCTACTGCATCCAAAACGGCGGGCCGTAGTTAAAATAATTTTCAAATAAGTTAACTTAATATATATAGCGTTTTAAACCGTTTTTATGTTACTTTATTTTAACCGTGTTTTATTTTAAATGTGTACTACTCACGTAAACTTTACTCTGTATAAAAGTATTCTAATTACCGAATCTGCTTCGGATATTTTTTCATTTATTCCATGGCAGTTTTAACCATAATTTTATTGGCATTTGGTTCGCATTTATACATTTATAAATATACAATCTGCATTAAAACTGGACAGACCGCATGATGCAACAACAAGTTACACGATCGTCATCTCATTTCAATATTGTTTTTCCAAGGGTTCATCTATTTTGCATAATTTATTTTAATTGTTACCTTCTTGATAATATTCTTGTTTTGTTAACAACTAAGCAATTAGGAATAAATTATATTATTGTAAACCAATAAGAGGTATTTTATACATTATTGAATAATATTGAAAATCTTTTTCTCTGGCAGACCGTTGTAGTGTTCGGGTTGTTCTAGAAATGTCATGACATGTGTCATCTACTATGACACAGAAGACCAGCGTATAATGAAGCTGAATAAGAATAAAAACTAGTTTTAACAAGGCATTTTATATATTGCAGTTTCCTACAGTTTTACTTTAATTAGACTCATCGGCCACAGTCCAATAAACTTTGTTAATTGTGGTGTTTTAGCCACTTCTTACCCCCCTTGGGGACTCTAGGAACCGGCATCTCAGCGCCACTCTTACATTGTTTTTCGATTTATCTTTCACAGTTATTAAACAAAAGTATTGTAATAAATTTTAAGTCATAATTATGGACGAGAACAATAAAATATGCCTTTGATGAATTTAGGAAATCTTAACCGTAAAATTATAATAATTACGGCGGTTGTACTAGTTCTGTTTCAAAATTTCCGTAGTAAAATTAATGAGGTAACTCCTTTCACTAGCATTTCCCAATAGATCCTAGAGTTCAATGACTCAAGTATATGATCTTTTAAATCTGGAGGTGAAACACGCGACGGACGCGTGCTTCGATCTACTTTGCATACAACTTTGTAAACATCAACCGGTTATTTTAATTAATAGTAACAATCTTGGCCGTCTCCGATTTTACCTTAGCACCATTACAATTTCTTAGATAATGCTGCTAGTGAAATTCTATAGACAATAATATATACCATAGATTGTGGAATAAATAACAAGATGAACGATCTTGAGTGAGAGAAAGCGAAATCCTTCGGCAAATTCCTTCCTTAACGTATTTGAATGACTCTTAAAGTTTAAAGGAAATAAACAATGTTTGCGCTGATATAACCTATAAAAGTTAAATATTCTTTTTAATAAAGGCAAAAATATATTATGGATAAATGTTATATTTTTACTCGGTAGTATTTTATTGTACAAAAGTTTAAAAAAAAGTAAGGACTCTTTTGTTTATACACAATCTGCGCTGTTTACAAAATGTATGTATAAAAGTATAAACAATCAACCTAAAATAAAACATTATTTTAATTCTGCAAGTTGTAAACTTTAAAATGTATTGGAAATGTAAAAGAAACTACTAATTAGGACACAAGAAAGTGAAAACCTACATAAGAAATAAACTTTATTTTCATCGTATTTTTACACTTTTTGTTTTTTTTACTTTACTCTGTTGTTTACAAATTAGGGTTATATGTTATATGTTGTAGATTAAGGTAATAGTAGTGTAAAAGTTACTTATATTACTACTAAAGTTCTATTAATAAAAAATACTAATTAATATTCTTAAGAAATTACAGTCGTTTCTTTAAATGTATTATGTACTTGAAGTCTGTTAAAACATCTTGATACTAAGCATACAATTCTTTGTTATCACATGTAGGTTATGTTAGATCTTATGACCTTAATACATGCAACTGTTCTTTTAAAAGCGTTTTAAAACTTAAATAAGTCAATAAAAACACTTTGAATTGGAACAAAAATTGCATAACACACAGAAATAAATATAATTTCTTAGATTTATTATGAATAATTTGAAAACTATAAAAAGATATGTTAGAATCTAATTAGTTACTGACCTGGGAAGAAATTTATCGGTGATCGCGAATTTTCTCTTCGATTTTGTCATTAGCACCCAAGTTTTTGGAAAAAAATTAAAAAATACACTCCGATTGAAGAATTTTGCCGATTAACACGGGGACCGAATTGAAACTGAATGTCTGCGGGAACGTAGAGAGCTTTAAATGTAAACCAGCTTGACACCAGTAACTCGCGTCACACTAACTTGAAACAACCGGTAACGCGGCGTCATCGCCATAATTTATTCAAGTTTTAAAGGATTTTTCCAGTTATTATTGTCAAAGAATTATCTTTATTTCCTAAAAATTAGAGTTTTACGTTGTTCGGTTTGGGTTGCTGTTACCCAATCCGGGGAACTACTTATCAAATTGTGTACGTCATATTTGTTTTAAGATAAAAATATTTCTATTCTACTATTCTAGCACAAAAACACTTGTTTTAGGCTATTGCAGAAAAAGAAACGAGATAAGACCATTCCGCTAATTGCTTGGTACATATTATTTCGATAACAAAAATACGTTGATTATGTATATACATATTATATATTGAAAGTTGCACGTGCTGTTTGTCACGACTACGCTTTAACATATTAGAGGCAACAGCAGGTTTAAAGATACTTATTCTTGTTTAAGACCGTCTTGTTTTGCCAGGATCCATGTAAGGTACATTGTTTCATTAACCATTTTCAAATAAGTTCTTGATAATTTCTATTTTATTTCGCCTAGGCAGATATATTACTCATATATTTCAGAATACATTGCAGTTAAAATCTATATTTTTGTATATGTATGCTACGATAGTACTTATAGAAACTTTTGGCTTGATTATGAATGATGCGAGATAGGTTAATTCTAAGGAAATTAAATATGTAACTACAAATATATTTGAACATCATTTATTACAATCAATAATCTCCAATTATTACTGAAATTATTAAAATAAATCTACTCCATGTATGGCTTGATTACAATCTGATCATTTCTCCTCTTGCGTCGATTATAAAACCATTCCGATAGCAAAATAGTGAAGGCGGAAAAAACACCTGTAAAATATGACAAAAATATACAAATGGCTGTTGTTTTGAAGTAGACCGCTGTCGGTCGGAAATTTGCGAACGTTATATACAAGTTATTTTGCGCGGCTTTGCACCGATGGTATAGCTAGGAGTGAAAAGACATTAAAGCAAAAAATAATTTTATAACATATGTGCTCGTAAAGTGGATGTATTTTCAATATCGTATCTCATTACGTAAGCAAAGAGGTTTTTTGTCAAGAAAGTGGTCAATATTTTATGAATAAAATTAACTTTGGGAAATAAAATATAACAAATAAACATTTAATTCTTTAGTTTAATTAATTTTGACAATAAATTACAACCATTTATCTATAGCAAAAACACAAAAATATTAATTTACTTTATTAGTAATACTGGCTGTTTTTGTACCTTTGCCTTAAAAAAAAATTGATGCGCGCGCATCGCTTATTTGTGGACAAGTTAAAATAATTCCGCGCGCTTTTACTTTTCGCTGTATTGTTTTTATTTGAAAATGTCGTCATTTCTCCGTAAATATGTTATAAAACGTCGTATGACATACGTGCGCTTTGAAAATTACAGCCTTTGCTTTCTTATAGCCCTCGCCGGCTCGGCTCGGACTAGTAATATCGCCTCGGCTGTGACTTTCAACTTACCGCACTTATATCATAGTGTACTATTAAGGCTTATCATGAAATACTTGTCCACACACTATATCACTTTTTGCTATCAAATATATGAGTATTTAGTAGTAGCTTAGGTACGTGACTTAGGGAGAAGCTGTGTATGTGTTTGGCTTATGATCGACAGTTTCATCGGATCCCCACCGTGTCCATCATGACTTCGTCTGGAAATCTTGACATTAAATGGATTGTAGGAATATCGCAACTCTCGTTCGGGTCACCAGCCACCGTTCAATTCAATTCTAAATATCCAAAACCAATAAGCCGATAGCGCATCTCATTTAGACGATATATGGCCGACGTGTACCTTCCATCAAGTGAACTATGCTTGTCTGACCTCCTTTTCATGAAATTTTTAATTAAATCGTTAACTTAAAGAGGACAAACAAACACACTTTCGCACTCATAATTCTTAATATTATGAAATGATATTTTCGACCGAACCAGACGCACGTAGCGTGAGAACCACGTGTTGACTTCGTGACAAATGACCGCAAAGCTTGAATTGATTTAAATTTAGCACTTTTACGATGAGCTTTTGTTTTTTCCTTATAAATTTCCTTTTTAGTTGCAGTGGGAACTATTTTAAAATTGTTTTGCATAATGAAGCAATATTTTAAGAAACATTTTAGTAAATACGAAACAGTTGCTAAGCTTACTTTTATATAATATCTGCTACTACTGTCTGATCTAATGTATTGCATTCAGATAATCTGTATTATTATCAAGGTGTCTTCAATTAAGCACTTCAGGTTTAGATGCATAACAGCAGGACTGACTTTTTAGGTTATAAACATAACCTAAAACCCAGAACTATCTACATTTTTTACACTAGGTTTTTTTGAAGCAGAGGTATGATTTTTTGCTATTATAATTTAGTTATTACAAATACAAATTAAACTTAGTAACTTACCTAGGAATAAAACAAAGAAGGAACCTTGCATGTCGCTTAGGTTCACTGTGTGATTATTAACTTCTGACGCCATGGAAGAAGTCTGCCAACACCGATCTCGTTTTGGTAGATACGCGCTTAGCCATTTTGTAATTAGCCCGGCTTTTTGCATGCGATTAATTCTGCATAAGGGTAGTTTTAGTTAAAGCAATGTTACAATTACAACATACTATCAAAGATTCATATTTTAAGAGATTTTTAGTCTATGAAAGCGGTTTTTGTTCTTCTTGTTTGTTCTACGCCCTCAATTTGAAAACTTATAGGTTATGTCGAGTCTTATCGTATTAACATAGTTTACTGGGGAATTCAAATTATATATCCCTCATAAAATAGAATAAATACGTGTGCCTTAACAGAGATAGTTATAGTTAAACCACCAATCTTCTTATTTCAGAAGTTATGACTGATAGGTCACAAACTTACTCCTTGTTAATGACAGGTAGATAAGGACTATCCGCTGGAACTATCATCGCCACTCGTTCTTCCATAAACTCCTCGGAACCTATTAATCGTTCATTTTAAATTAGTACTGGCAGATTCAGTATTTTAATTGGTAGTAGTATATTTAAAAGTATTGTCTAACTAGTATATGAAATAAAATTCATCCATCCATCATAAAAAATGTATCAATTTAAGTAATTTACGTAATTTTTATGATCTTAAAATATGTTTAAGAATAGAAAGAACAAAAAGAATATATAAAAAGAAAGAACAAAAATCTAACGCAATATAAAAATTTAAAGGTAAATACTTTCATATACATTATTAATAAATTATAATTAGTCTACAAATAGTTAAATAGCGTCGGGCAGACATATTACAGTGTCTATTATTCGGTGATCATTTAATTATATATAGTTATATAGTTTGTACTATTATCTATTGTCATATATCCCTAAATATGACCATAGAGACAGACATATGAAGTCTAGAAGATATTAAAATATGTACGCATTAAAAAAACAACGAGAATGATTGTTACGTTAATAGAGACTTACTAAGCACAAAATCGCAGGAATCAGTTGCCGCAGTATCGGCTCTCTTCAAGTAGTTTAATCTGAGTTTCCAATCGATGACTACGTGACGTTCGTTTCGGACTCGATCCAGATATTTAGTGCCTAAAATGGTCCAATACACGTTTCTAAGTATTTTTTTATTAAGCCTAGAAGAGTTAATAAAATCATCAATGTACAACACGGCTGTGACGGGCTCGCTGGTGTAGTAATATCTTTGACTAGTAGTATCTATCTATGCACTGGGCATGGGTCCGAACTCCTTCCATCCACAATTTTTTACAGTAATAACTACGAACTAAGTAATATTTATTAGATCACTTTTGGACTTTTATTGATTTTAGGGAAAGTTCCTGGTCTGAAAACACATGCAACTGAGAGGAAGTTAGTCCGTTTCTCCCTTTTATTATGCTTCTTAAGCCCACGCCACCCACACTGAAGCAGTGTGGTGGATCTAAGCTCTTTGACTTTGTCCAACCATGGGTTCATTAACTTGAAATGAGAGCTTTACCAAGCATACTATAAAATATGGTGGGTATATTAAATATGTTTGTAATTATTCAATTAACATAACCTATTATGAAATGCGCTTAATTATTAGCTTTATTAGCTTGCTAGGTTAATACGGCCGACATAACTTGGCAAGTCTGAACAGAGGTTAAACTAATTTTGGCTCATGTACAATCGTAAAGAAAACTAATACTGCCATTTATTTTCGTTATTAGGATAAATGAAAGATTTTACCTATAGCAAGCAAAAGTAACATACCCATAATTGATTCAAAGAGAATAAGGGCTACGAACACTTATCTTTCACTAAAATATAGAGACATAACAAAATAGAAATAATGATATTAAATTTAACAATAAACAATTACTTTTCTAACGGACTGCGTCAAGACAGAGATAACGAAATTAACGCCAAAAGTGACCGAGACACACTACTGTTTACCGACATTACCGAATATGTAGCGAAGCTGTACGAAAGAACCAAAAGAATTCCATACGCGATCCTTGGGTTGTTTAATCGATTCCTATTGAAATAATTTATTTTCGATTTTTAAATTATATAGTGGCTTCATGTGCAATAACATGTAAAAAATATTAATGTTTTCAAATCCTATTGAAATAGACACAATTGAATCGTAGAAATATAATTGTATAAAACGCCCTAAAGAAGGTATTAATAGTAATAATATATTTAAATAATAACTCATATTTAACTAAATCGGGTAGTTCAATAATGAAAAAAGTTTTTAATGATTTTATTTTCCTTTAAAGATAATCATGGTATTATTTATTAACAACACCATTCACTGTGTTCATCAATCCATTTAGTACAATATCTCATACGATTTAAAATCCATAATCTACATCGATAAAAATCGATTACAAAATTTGATAGAATAAGCGATCGATTGTGTTGACATTGAGTCAATCACTAGCCTAGATCTTCGTCGCGTGCCCCTCGCTCTTACAACCCTTAACATCCTAAAGAACGTTTTTGCGCAGCGTTTCGCGCTTAGATCAGGCTTTGCCAAGTTACATCGGCCGTATTGTAACGAGGTACCTTATACAAATTGTATATGACTAAAGGAGCTTGACAATAAGGAAATCATGATAAACAATATTTATTATACAAGTAATCATTAGAACTGGTTATATGCATAGGTATTAGTTAGGAATAAGACTGGGCATAAGGGTCTGTAAAATCGATGGCATTAAATTTAAACAAACGAATATCTAAAGCCAAAATAGGTCGATAACGCAACTTGTGTAGATGTTATATGGCTAGGGTATTTCACCCCCCATCAAGAACCCCTATCCTTGTCTGTCCTCCTCTCATAAAAAAAATCACGGGAGGGGGGGAGAGTGTGTCTCCCCATGACCACGGCTACTGCAAAGCATCCGAAACGTTAAAAACCATTTTCAAATGAGTTTAACTAATATATCACGTTTTCAACCGATAAAGTGTTTTATTTAAATATATTATAGATATTTTCATGTAAACCACGATTATTATTTTTTTAACTAGTTTCGTTAAAAGGTTTTTATAATCGTTTATCTTATCACATTTTCTTCTGTATACTATTTTTATCCTAACTTATAAACTATAATTAAAATTCAAAATATTAAAACGACACAAATATATTAAATTTAGTAGGTACTGTCTGAGTAACCCAATAATATTATAATGCAATCTGAAACTTAGCCTTGAAAATTCGCTGTGTTCCTCGGTATGAAGAAAATTTCCATACAAAGAGAACTGACGTACCGAGGAAATGTACGTATATATTCCGATATGTATATAACAGAACGAAAGAAATAAATTAATATTAATGTTCAGAAACGCAAACGGGAGGATATTTATACTATAAAACAAATCGTATATTTGAATACTAAATCAGTTCTAATATAGAAAATTTGGTTCGAGTAGTTTTGTACTAGTTCGTAATAAAAAAAATTAATGTACGTAAAAGAACGATACAATAACGTTATGTTTTATCGTGAATCTTTTCGTCTCAAATTATTTTTTTGGTCTCTGTGGTCCATAAAACAAATTATACACGTCGGTAGACACATTTATATTTTTTACATGTTCCGAAAACCACATCTACGCGCTGAGTTATTAAAAAAAAATCTTCTAGCGAAAGAAAGCTTACCACTAAATTAAATTTGTCTCTACGTAGTAATTAATATCGAGAATATCAAAACAATTTACAGCAGTCTCGTCGTGACCACAGCTGCTTCCAAGCATCCCAAACGGCTGGTACCTCCTACTACTAGCATACTTATAATAACAGAACTATATAAAATGATTTATATGCGATACTTCTTGTATTAAATAGGGTATTAAACACCTAAAGGGGTTTTTATTTAGGTTCTAAAACTTGCGTGAACTATTACTAACTACTATTAGAATATTTGAAACAATTTTCGTAGATATAGGTCTTACCGGCTATATTATTTGCTTCCATGCCGTTTGATGACGTTGAGAGCTCAGCGCCTTTCAACAGTGACACGTACTTGGGTTCATCCGAATTCTGAAACCGTTTGGAAATGTAACTGGATTTTAGTTTAAAATACGACTTGATTTGGGGTTAGAATAACCTTGAATGCATATTATATCGCAATAAGTAAATAAAATATAATAGAAATAGATATTTTAAACCCTTGGTCCAATTGAATGATATTAATAATTGGAAATCTATAAATATTACGTCTCAATCAAATTTGTAAATAACTGACTAAGCTGGAAAACGTTCTTTAACCATGTGTTAGAAAGTTAATCTTATAAAATAGGCATATAAGTGGACATTTTGTTAGATTGTGAATGTAATTCTTTTTTTGATTTGATTGATAGATGATAGTTTTCGCAGAGCGCGCAACGGAACCTTTTATAGGGGTATGAATATCACATTTCCCACTGATTCGGGTCCAACAAACACATTTCATTTTTTATTTTGAAGCGGTAGTTCCTGAGATAAGCGGGCTCAAACAAACAAACACTTCACTTTTATAATATTAGTATAGATATGAACCTGTACCTATAGGTTTTTTGATAATATGATAAGAATAAGTCGTAAATCGAAGTGTTTAAATAAATCCATCGTTTCCCCCTCCAAAATAGGTAAAAATATTGGTTGGAAACCGTTGCCGATACTAACTTTTAACTGCATCTCCAAGTAAGAGCCTTTGTTAATAGACCAAGTATACGTTGCACTGTTCTGCAGCAATTCCCTCAGAGTCGTTACCGGGATTTCCAATTTGGGGAACGTAAGAAAAGCCACCAGATTTCCCGAGTAAGTGGTGACCACGACTAAAACCACTATCCACCATGTGCCTACCACCAATCTACCACTGTCCGCTCGCGGAAGATACATTCCTCCTGAAAACATTGAAAATAAATGAAGAGAAATACTGACGTCTTTTCTATATGTGTTGAAAAATTCTAAATTATTATGAACTGGCATTTCGACAATCTGGTCGCACGTTCGAGTCCTCTCTGTGTTATACAGACTATGTTACAAATAAGTTATGTTTAATCTGTTAAGCAAGAGAGGTTCTAGGTTCAGAGCCACGAAAATACTTGTCATAGACATTCCCCTATACCACGACAGCAAACGTAGTTTCAATAACTATTGTATTATTCCTACAAAAGTGATTGGTTTAGTTCAGTTCCGTTGTATTTATAATATTATTTGTCGAGAGTCCAATACTTTCCAATAACATTGATAAATTTCCCCCGAGATTCATATGTTTCCGAACACAGATGCGACTAATGTGTAGAGTTTAATATCAATAATTGTATGCGATTATATCTATATATTTTTTTTATTAATAAGTACTAGAGTGAACTTTTTACTTCTAATAATAATTTATTTAAGAATATAACAGAACTAAAAAACGTTTCATAGACAATTTATGTATAAAAGTAAGTTGAATGAAATCTTTACTTAAAAGACAAGTATTTCAATATCTTAATGAGCAAATTTGTTTTATTAATTGTTATTATTAAATAAATAAATAAAACAGAGTTTACCTAGCTAAAAATAATGATCATGAAACAGTGTTTTGTTTAGAGCAACTACACAACTTGCACTCAAATATCTAAATTGAATTCTGTCTAACTAAGTAAACGTTTAAAAATCTAAAATAAATTTAAAAAATTCCGCGTTGTTTGCTGTGTGCTCTACCAATTGAGCTACCAAGTCCTACGCGAACGCTGACAATGCCGGTTCAAGACCTGCCCGATTTGAAATTTTTCCAAATTTATTTTCGATATTTAAATTATATAGTGCCTTCATGTGCAATAACATGTTAAAAATAATAAAGTTTTCAGGCGTAAATAAACGTTACCTTGTTGTAAAAGAGCCCCGTAGACATACCACAAACAATTATGGATGGTGGACAGTCCTCCTTCGCGAGTGATTTCTTCAGCGTCATAGAAGGGACTAAGTCTGTGTATTATATATAATGTGGGCCCCATCAAAATGACAGCTAATGCTAAGCAGAGCCATGTCTATAAAAAACATTACTAGACCTTTTAAATACAAAACTTTAACAGTTTAAAACGCAACATATATTAATTAAACTTATTTGGAAATGATTATAACCCGACGTTATGGATGCTTTGCAGCAGCCATGGTCACGGGAGACACCCAAACTAATATATATCGCGTTTTAAACCTTTAAAGTCTCTTATTTGAAAGTGTACTCGCGTAAACTACAGACAGTATTTAATTACTAGATCTTCTTTGCCGCTGAGTGTACTTGGGTTATCGAGCCGTTCGACAGTTCTGGTTAAAAAATGGTTCGCCATCAAATTAAGCGTTCCTCGAGCTAGCGAGGGCCATATTTCTATAACGACGATATAGAAATATGGCATATTTCTATCTATATCTGCTGCCATTTAGCAACATGTAATATATTTTTATATAACTATTTTACAGTAGGAGGCTGCATGAAATATATGTGACTTTGTTAAATTTATATATATTAATATAGTCACAGCTTTCCTCGCCAAGTTGTAAAACCTGAGGTCGAATCCCGAGGAAACAATAGATTGTTTAGATCGGGCACAACTACTTGGCTCTGGGAATCGTACCCAGAAATGTGTTCACTCCATGCCCCGCAGGGGTCACGGAATTACACTTTCCCTCGCCAAGAGGTCTTGGTTTCGCTCCCGGGACAGCAAAACGGATACACATTTGTGTATCCGTTTTGCTGTCGTGTGTCGGCCCCATTTGTGTGTCCGTTTTTGTGTAGTAGATTAGAAGGAACATACATTAACTTGACCGCTAAGCGTGTGAAATGTAACTGAAGTATTTTGGCACAATTTCAAAGCCACTTCGTTTAACTATCAAAGTTAACGAGTTCACTTAACAATATGGAGATTTTAATGTACATTTAAAGTAATATAAAGAGATATTAACTTGCATACAACCTACTCTCAGAACAAGTTATTAATGCATTTTAATGCTAAACTAGTTTGCAAATTAAATGTAATTTATTCCGAAACAGTGCAAATCTTGAAGTGCCTGAATACCTACTTTTTTAATATTCTAGGTATACGTTATTTTAATAGTTTATTAAGGTAGTTTGTAAATTTTCATATACATTAAAAATCTATTTAGATCGAAAAAATTGACAATAAGAGCGGGAGTTGAACCTGCATCCGTTTGTTCCGATAGCTGTTTGTTTAGCATAAGTTTTATTTTTTTTTCTACTATTTGTATCCTCTTCATTTCTTAATGTTAATTTTCTTTTTATCTAGTTGTGTGAAAGACATCGCTGATTGCGATTCTGCTAACTTTCATCTACTCACATTTAAAAATAATAAAAAAAACCTTAATCTTCAGTCAATCATGGCAAAGAACTAATTTTTTTAAGTATCCGTACTACCTAATTACTTTCTCAAGTAATCGATCAATAATATGTATAAATAATTATTATATGTATATAACTAAATAATTAGTTATGGACACAATTGCTAATATTATCCCTTTTAAAAAGCTGTAACATATAAACTATAACTAAGCATATAAATTCCAGACTTACATCAGTAGTAAAGGGTAGTAGAAACAGCAAAGCTCTACTAAGTTCTCTCGGTCTTGCTATCATAAAGGAATAGGGCTGGATGCTGACAGGTATTGTATAGTTTATACCTATGAGAAAGAATCAATAAGTGAGCCTTTGTGGTAACCAGGCAAATGGTTTTAGATACTAGTCTTAAAACCAGACATAAAAAAGTTAAAAAAAAAACTACACATTTACTAAAAAAATAAGCCTTCACCTATTTCTAATTCAGTTCTATCTCTTGTAATGATTAATATTTATTTAGTTCAATAACTATATATGGATAAGCTTCAAGTTGTATTTTATATTTACATCGTGGCCTAGTTCTTAGAATTCAAAGGCTAAGTAAGAAATTATTATTGAACCCACGACCTTTGTCCATTTATTTATTAATAATAATATTCCACTAAAAATCGCGCCCTCTTTCGGCCAGCTTAGTCAACATAATATATTGAATTATAAAGTTTCAAAAGGCTTGTATCCCGCCGTAAAAACTATTAGAGGGCTAATGATAATGAGAATTTTGGAAAATCTTCGTAAACGCAACTTACCTGGTGGTGGATCTGATAAAATGGTAAATGCAGCAGCAGCCAGAGCTACTTTCCCTTTAGAGACTGCTGCCAAAGTGAACTTAGCACTTGTGCTGTGCATCATCTAAAAATATAATAACTATATTTACTATTCATACTGCCTAAATCGTATATTTAAAATAAATATGCCACAGAGTAAACTCGTTAGGCAATAAGTGAGTGTACGAGTATCTTTTTTGTTTATACAGATTATATTTGTGTTTAAATAAACCACTTTAATGTTTTAAAACGCAGTATACATTACCCGTGACCCCGGCTGCTGCAGAGCAGCGGGCCGTAGTTAAAATAATTTTCAAATAAGTTTAACTACCATATATCGCATTTAAAACCGTTAAATTGTTTTATTTAAATGTGTACTACTCGCCTAAACCACAGACTGTATATTTCTATCGTTTACTTTTATGGCTTTTTTGTCATGTAAGGCAAATTAACCCAAACAAATTGCTAAATAAAAAATTGAAAACAAAACAACTTTCGATTTTTTTGTAAAAATTAAACTTATTTACTTCTTATATAAGCCCTTGCCATAACTCTATTTAAATATTAACAATCCGGTTAAAATACATACGTTTATGTAAGCAAATATCATATTGAGCGTTGCGGATTTTTTACCAATGCCGAATTAAAAAACAAAGCTGTAGCACGAAATAATGAAGCTATTGTTGGCAAAATACCAAAAAACGTGGAATTACATTACTTACATCTGTAGACGTTTCGTTTGAAGATTCTTCTTTTATATGTCCGGGTAACACAATACGTATGCTGAAATAGGTTTTTTACGAACACATTAACCGTCAAATTTTATGCTACAGTCATCCAATATTTTACGCCCAAACCAATTTTAATTAAATATCTCATAGTAGACACGCTCAGCTTATTTCATTCCCAAACCTACATAATGTTCATGTTTCTTATAGAAATCATTAATTCTATAACGCAATTTTCTTCAGCTAATACACTCTAAACCCCAAATATCCAAAGCCAAAATAGGTCGAGAGCGCATCTTGTGCAGATGTTATGTGGCTGGGGTATATCACCTCCCATCAAGTGACTCCCATGCTCTATCATTAAAACAACATATTTACTATGCTATGTAATCAGCGTAGGTAACTAATGTACCTAAGTTAATGATTTCTATAAGCAAATATTTATGTTCTTACTTCCATGTAAACCTCATCTATACTAATATATAAAGCTGAAGAGTTTGTTTGTTTGAACGCGCTAATCTCAGGAACCACTGGTTCGAATTGAATTTTTTTTTTTTTGTTGTTTAGAGCATTTATCGAGAAAGGCTATAACACTGCGCTGTGACTAGTATGAGTGCAGAAACAGCGGGAAATGCAGTAAAAATGAGAAAAAATTTTCATCTTTGTAGAGAGAATGATTCTTCTTTAAATTATCAAAAAAAAATGTCCGCGACAGGATACGTCTATCTCTATGAACTGGCAAGAACGACGGGAACCAATCGACAGGCGACGAGCGACGGGACGCGACCGATGACGTAGATAACAGTTTGCAAAAAACAATTTTGGATGCCCAAAATAACTATTCTACGCGGACGAAGTCGCTGACTAAGCTAGTAATGAATAAAATATGTTGGACTTCCTAATACTTGCACATAGTTACATTCATTAGGGACATCTTTAAAACTTACGTGAAGTTCTTACTCTTAGCAAACTGGCCAACAATATCGAACAAGAGCCCTCCGTAACTTACAATGGATCCTGAAGCATTGGACTGAAGGATAGTCCATGGAGGGTTCTGGAAAATACGACGTTAATAAATTTAACAATTTATTGGTATAACACTGTTTATTAACGAAATGATTATATTTAACTATTAAACACACTTCTAAACTTTAAAAGAAATTTAAAAACTTCTATAGGTACCCGGGCCAGTCTGGAAAGCAGCGTTCTCGCGTGTGACAAGCACTGACGAGCAGAGGTGAGATTGGTACCGTTTTCCTTTGATTATCTATTTATTATTATTATTGCATTATGCTATCTTTAATTTAGTAGTTACAAGTACATATATTGCAAAAACTGTGTAAAAGTTAGGTACCTAAGAATTATTCTTACTATAATATAATTAGCTTAAGTAGTTGTGTACCTTGTGTGTTAATACGCCTTATTAAATAAATAAAAAGTTTGAGTTTGAAAATTAATATATTTCTAATCGTGCATATATCGTGTAGGTTTTGAAGAAACGTGATAACCGTGATAAGGTTTTTAAAGTAAGCCTAATTTTACTTACGTGGTAGGTTAATACCGGAAGTTCCTTTCCTCGAAAACCATGTTTTATATGCGGAAAGAGGACATCACTAAATTTAAAACCATCAATAGGACGCCAGAAGCCTACCTAGAATAAAAAAAAAGATATTGTCTGTAGTTAACGCGAGTAGTACACATTTGAATAAAACAGTTTTAGCAGTATCCCCCCCGTGACTCACAAAAAGCTTCTGACACGTAGGGTCTTAGTTAAAATAAATAACCGATAAAGTAAACAATGGTCGCGTTTTAAACCGTTTATATATCTTTCTTTTTTATGAAAAACGTTTTTCAACTGTTTTAATAATTCATTACCATTATATTTATTTGGATTAACAGTAGGTATACCATACAATACAGTGGGTTTTTTAGCCCTTTTAAATAAATTATTATATGGTTAAACCTACAAAAGAGAGTGTGTGTACGGTGATTTACCTGGTATTATTCAAGAAAAATAAACTTGATATGAGGAATCAAGTTTATTTTCTCATAAAATTTATCTAGAAATGTGATATCTAAACCCTACCTGTAGTAAGTCAACATTCTCAATCAGCGTGGTGACATTGTCATCTTCTTTATTACTGATTACAGAATCAGTATGTCTTCTATAAGTAGCACCCCAAGTGTCAGCAGCCAATGCTTGCCAGCTGCTACAATTACCGCATTTGCTGTACGCAGTTATATGTTGCTGAAATAATATTTCAATACAAACTTTTTCGTAATCCATTTTTTTTCTGAAACATGTTTGACTTCGTTTGGAAATCTGGATATTAAAAGAGTGGTAGAAATATCGAAATTCCGTTCTGGTCACTACATAACGTCCACAGATGAAAGATCCGTCAAACTTAACCGCGTTTCGGTTACATTGGAGTGAAATTCCGACTATCCACAGCCAAAAAAAAAGAAATAGCTATTGTTATAAATGGAAGGACCTGCATGTGTTTAAGCAACATGTCCCTTCTCTGGACTTTATCAGGTCTGATAGCTTCCCACTCTTCATCTGAGACTTGTGCAGCAATATCGAATTCTTCTTGAACCGCAGAATCCAAAGCAGATATGAAAGCATCCATCATCTCTTTTGAATAACAGATAATACCGTTCTGAAAAAATATATTTCTTGTAGTCAGGGTAAGAGCTACGGTATATTTTCTTCAATGCATCTCGTCATTGACATCATTATTTAACATATGGTAGTAAGCTATGGGTGCTCATATCTTGTTAAGATGTTATGGCCAGGGTATTCTATCTTTCATCAAGTGAATCCAACGCATATCTGTCCACATCTATAATTTAAAAAAAAAATGTTGTATTACTTATTTACACCATCTTTTACCTTGCAATGAGCCCCGTCGTCTGTCTTGTTATAAATATACGCAATATTTTCTCCTTCAAATAGATCGTTGATCAACGTAGATAGATTGCCGGTTCGTTGATTGGTATCTGACACGATGTATAGCCATTGCGCGAGAGTGTGTGACATGTGAACATCGCGCGCCGTCTCCGCCATCGTTGTCATCGTTTCTGTTGTAACTATCGCCAGGAAATTTTCACCTGGAAATTTAATGCATGGTGTTCTATTGGACACAAGAGAGATTTTCATAGTCCTAAATATTATGTTCGAGCAAGATTTCTACGTCTAAAATAAATAGTATGTCTTGATGTCTACTTGCCATGTATTGTCCATACATTACATCTAGCATCTTTGTTATTTATAATTTTATTATTGTTATACCAGTAGCTTATAAGTTTGAAATAAATTATGATCTAAAGTTACTACGCAAATAAAAATAAATATGATATATTAATAAATATAAATAATAATTTGCTTTGCTTAACAAGTTGTTGGAGACCATCGTCCATCTTGTCCAATGACACAAGATGACATTATACATATAATTACATATACTTTTAAAATCTATTTACATTTAGTAAAATTTTACGACGCGGACGGGCGAACCGGTAAAGACTGTTTATTACATTTTATTTATTAAAATAGGTTTTACAGTAAAAAAAGAAGAGTAAACGTATATATTATGTACATACAATTCATTCAGTGGCACAAAATTATCGATTTTTACAATTTGTTTCTTATAAAATATGTTTTCTAATACATCCATTGAAATATCTCATAAATTGTAGCGTGCATTTTGACAGCAACATTTAGTTTGAAATTCAACGTATAGTTTTGGTTCTGATTACTTTTGTTGGCAGCCGAGGGTTTTATTTGTGTCTGCACTGCAGAATACCTAGTGCCCAGTTAAAACTTAAACCGTAATGCGGAAACTTTGCTGAATTAAAAAATGAAATGCATTGCATATTTGCAACATAAAAGCAATATACATTTGGAAAATTTACTCTTATGAATAAAAGGCAAGGTAATCTTTTGTATTATTAAATTAAGTAAAAAAAATTAGGAAGAAACAATGCTGAAAAGATGTTTTACATTGTTGGTGTATTTGACTAAAAATTTACAATTAAATTAATTTATTATAAATTATTTATATTAGGAATAAGGACTAGCGTCCAGTGTTCGTATCCCGGGTTACCAACGCGTTAGATCCGTATTTGGGAATTATATCAATAAAAATTTCTTACGCAGTTTTTAAGTTTTATTGTGACTTTAAAGGAGACTTAAGAAATCTATCCCGGTTATTATCATCAATTTACTTAAGGTAGTCGTTAAAATAGGGCGAGACGCACTGAAGCGGCTAGATCTAAGCTCACAAACTCTCTCCAAAAGAGACACCCCGTATAATTGGTTGAAGCCACCTTTTGGTTGTGGTTTTTTACTCTATTTTGATATTCTGAATCTCACCAATATATTTAACAGGCAATCTCGATATAACTCTATACATTTCCTTCCGTCTCAAGTACTCATTAACTTCGTGTCTCATTTTGAATACTGTCACAGATACAGATGGGACTTTCTCGTCATCAATTTGTGACGTCATAGCTTGGACTACTCGAGATATCATATCACGACCTGAAGAATATAGAATAGAATCAAAATATTGGAAACAATAAAGATAAAGAAATGTGATGAATGAATAAAAAAAGCAATTACATATAGTATATATCATTCTTAATCGACGCTGATATTATAAAGCTGAAGAGTTTGTTTATTTGAACGCGCTAATCACAGGAACCACTGGTTCGAATTGAAAAAATATTTTTGTGTTGGTTAGAGAATTTATCGAGAAAAGATATAAAAATTACGCCGCGACCAATACGGGCGAGGAATTATTGGGGAATGCGTAAAAAACGGTAAAAACTATTCTTCCGCAACGGAGACCCTCTCCGTTGCGTCTGCTGCGAAAACGATCAAACTTCCCAAAAATGTATATGAGCGAATGATTCTTATTTAAATGATCTTTTAAGATAAGCTTGCAAGAACGACGAGGCGCGGATGATGTCGCTGGCACAGCTGGCTAGATGATAAAAGACAAATTACAGTTCTTATGGATTTTGAACAATGTTGACAACAGTTGTCGAGTATTTCACGTTAGTACAAGATGAAGGTTTCAAAAAAAATTGCAGGATGTTCACGTAAGTCCTATACAATGTTTAGCCTAAATTATATTTAAATCGCGGTCCTGTCGTAGAGGTTACTCACTTAACGTATCATCATGCAATAGAATAGCTGATTTCCAGTTAAAAGCCCTCTCGGTTCTAAGGTCGAGGATCATTTGTGATAATTCTTCCCCAGCGCTCGACGACGTCACTGTTATAGCCAGATCTGTTGGGAGTCTGGGACAATCCACTTCAGTCAGTGCGAATAGAAGTATCTGTTCGTCTTGTACGCGTTTGAATAATGACCATGTATCTTCGCAAGACGCTACGCTGAACACCGCAAGGAAACCTTTAAAGAAGTTACTTATGATAACCCTTAGGTAAAAAAAACCTTTAACGTGGTAAAAGTCAGGCATATTACTTGATTTGTTTTTAGTATGATTCAACATTTTATAAGAGTGTTAATAGGAAAAAACAATTTTGGTAAATTTTTAACACAGAGAAAGGCAAGTATTCCGCTAGAATAAAATTATGAAGTTGTTGACGTGCATACTGCAACTATATGTATCGAATATTGCAAAATAATTAATTTTAATTAATAAAGGCCTACTTCTCTTTTCACAGATTAAGTAATAGAAAAATCTTTGCCACATTAAAACAGGCCAACACTTTGAAGAGCTAGTCAATCTAATGATGAATGAATTGCTAATAATCAAGGAGTCGTGATTTCGCCCTTAGGCCAAGAAGTTCTTAAAGATCCTCTGTCCGGAGGACGAAGCACAATCAACAATCGAAGTCCACAAATTGAAAATTTCAGTGGATTTCCATGGCCAATAATAATGGATAGGAACAAATACAAAGCCAAAATATTGCATCTTGTTTAGATTTTTTCGGTAAATCAAAACCTCGATAGACGAGCTTTGCTGATCGAGATAGATATTTAATTTCCTTAAATATTAAATTTAAGTTAGCGATCATGTGTAACGCGTGCAATTCAAAATATAAGAATGTAACCTTTTTTAAGATTGATAGCAGTCCAAGAATAATAATGGACCATAACACCACCGTGCTTCAGTTTGACCCTTGCCAGTTCCTTTATGTGATCTTTCAGTTCATCCGTTACAGTTTGAAATTGATCTTGGAGGAATTGATGATCCAGCACCACGGCTTGTTAAAAAATATTAATTAAAAACAACTTTAGGAGTTGTGTACAGTAATGAATTAATATTTCTAGAAAAATTTAAATTTGATTTATAGAATTGCTTTAGACCTTTTTGTAATCCGTTTAAACTTCTTGTAATAAAACACATACTTATAAATTTTAAAACGATAGACCTCGTTGTAATTTATTTAAACATATTGGATCTTTTTCAATATTGCTCTTTCACAACTATTTTTACATATTAGTTATTGTCTCTTGTCACACAATTTGTACACAAAATATTTAAAGCAGCTTTAAACACAAAATGTTAAAACAATGTCGCCCATGAAACCGTTAAATTTGTTTTATTTAATAGTAATATTCTATAGGTAATAAATGATAATGTGTTACCTATAGATGCATTTGCTGTGATCAGCGAAGGAAAGTCTTCCGCCACGCCCCGCCCAAATAAACACAAAAATAATATCCATATTGGCATTTCTTAAAGGGTACCAACGATTATAATACTTTGAAAGCACTGACGCAGGTGTCATAATTTTTAGAAGAAACACCTGCTTTTTAATAAAAAATTCTTTTAGTTATTCAGTTTATGAAAGCCGGAGTGGATGGGGTATGAAACGAATGCGGGCCCATTTTAAGGTTTAATGCGTGACGGAACTGGATTTCGTAAAAGGCACTAGTTATATACAGCATGTTAGAGAAAAATTATAGTTTTTAAAGAATACCAACTCCTAAAACATCTCTTCTTTCAGATCTTTGAATTCCTCTCGTCATCATCAGTAAGACAAATGTTAAAGTATATTAAATATAATTTTACTCTTTCTACTTTCTCTGTTCTACTTAGTACAATTATCTTTCATTATCAACGAGATAAAAATAAACAATTTCTAAATGTCTATTCAATAAGTTTATTTTAAAATACCATATATTCAACAATATCTATTTTTACGCGAGTAGTACACATTAAAATAAAACACTTTAACGCTTTAAAACGCGATATATATCAGTCTCCACTTAACCACAACTGCTGTAAAGCATCCTAAACGTCGGGCCGTATTGAAAATAATTTTCAAACAAGTTTAGCTAAAATTATCGCGTTTTAAACCATTTCAATGTTTTATTTAAATGCCATAATATTGTTTACATGCATCTGCAACTAATTTAACTTATAATGTTACTAAATAGTAGATATATATTATCTAAAAGAAATAACGATACACAACATGTAATCTTAAGAGAAAGATTGGAAACCGTAGTATTCACCGACATTGGTGTTTTATTAGTTTGTATTAAAGGAAACACTCCTAGGATTTCGTTAAAGGTCGAAACATTAACAATGCAAAACAATTGCTCGAAGGCGATTCGTGTGCTCTAATTGCAGAAGTGCCTGTCGATCTATTGAAGAAAATATTAGATACTTATGAAATTAACTCGAAAAGTTCTGTCGAAAAGTTATAATATTTTTACTATCCTCTATCACGCGGTGTTACTTGTTATAAATCCGCCCTAAAACATGTATTATTTTATTGTATAGTGACAAAATTAACAAATATTAAATATATATACACAATATAAATAACTATGAAATTACAATCGCCTTAAACTTATTTTACATTTACCATATTCCATTTAGTAGTAAACACTTATTGTCTGCAGCGTCGGGTCAATATATTTCTCGTTTAAACCGTTATAAAGGTTGAATTTGGTTTGAAAAGTTATAGTATATTAAAAATAGGAAGCGACTCCTGTAACCACATAAAAATAGACTAATGTTTTGATGGGAACCAACTATCGTGTGTTAGATAATGCTAAAAACAACAAATAGATAACATTGCGGTTATTGATAATTTTTAAGGGTGGGTAGCGTCGGGTTAGTTCGATAAGCCATGTTACAAAATAACTTAACAATTACTTTATAATATTAAATTACACAATTCTATCATAAACGCCCCATGGCCTCAGTGTAGGACAGTACTTTAACTATTGTTGTTTGTATGTCGGGAAAAGCTAAAATAATAATTAATTGGCGATTTTGTTAATTTAAATATTCCTTTCGGCCCCAGTTTCCTCTTTTACCCTTAGCCTCATTGCGGTTAAAAGCTGTATATAAATACCAAGTGCACAGGAGCATGACAATATTCAATCGATTATAGTATATTTTCTAAAATGGCAGCAGATGGCCAATCTACTCCGACCACTGAGGTGGATGAGTCCGCCGTCAGGAACCTCCAGAATTACCTGAGGATTAGGAGCGTTCATCCTAATATTGATTATGGTAAGTAATTCTACATTTTTAATTTAATAAAAATATTTTCATATCTCTTTGCCAACATATAAAAGCGGATAATGTACCGTAATTAAATTTAAATTTAATATTTATATAAAGTTTAAAACGGTGTTTATAAATCTATATAAATGTACATATAATGACGTTAGCATTAGTTCAAGTACGGGAGAATAAACACGGTGTTTAAATAAAACACTTTAACGGTTTAAAACGCGATATATATTAGTTAAACTTATTTGGAGATTAACTACGACCCGACGCAGACGTTTCGGATGCCAAATAAGTTTAACTGATATACATCGCATTTTAAACCGTTGAAGTGTTTTATTTAAATGGTTATTAATCGCGTAAACTACAGATAGTATTTATACTCGATATGCTACGGGTTTGAAATCTATCTAAAATCTCTTTTTGTTTAAAAATCGAAAATAAATTGAAAAAATTTTAGACACGGGCATGACTTGAACCGGCATCGTCAGCGTTTCGAACTATTGCTCTACGAATTGAGCTAGCAAGTCCTCGATGATTTTTCTTATCACTTTCAAAATCACGCAACTGTAACGCTGAATTCTTGACAATTTCAGGAGAATGCATTACATATCTCCGAGAACAAGCAACTCAGCTAGGTCTTCCTGTGCAAGTATTTGAGGTGGTTCCTCAAAAACCAATTCTTGTAATGACCTGGGAGGGCCAAGAGCCATCGTTGCCGAGTATTCTCCTTAATTCTCATATGGACGTTGTTCCTGTGTTTGAAGTAAGCATTACTAGTTGTGTTTATAACGACCTAATAAAAAGGTTACGAGAAAAAAGGATTTTTTCTATAATACATGTTGTATACATGGGGGGGATCGCGTCTGTAGCCTGGTGAAACGTATTGCCTAGCATTGCGTTAAGCGCAAGAGGTTCTGGTGCCCGACCGAAACAATTTTATGTTTTCCTGGGCAGGGCACAGAAGTCTGATCGACTACTTGCCCGTTAAAGAACGGATCAATGAAACGGACACAGAAATGTGTGGGCAACGGGCTTTCACACACATGGTGTATACAAAATATACTTATTATTCTCAGAAAAGTTGGACATACCCACCCTTTGAAGCACGTATCATTGATGGTGTTATATATGGGCGCGGTGCACAAGATATGAAATCGGTAGCCGTACAGTACTTAGAAGCGGTACGAAGACTGAAAAACAAGGGAGTAATACTGAAACGTACCTTGCATTTGTCCTTTGTACCAGGTAATATATTAGGCTAATATTATGAATACAAAAATATATAACAAAAGATGAACAGATTAATGTTTAAATATATTACATCAACGGTTTAAAACGCGATACATTTTACTTAAACGGGAGTCTCCTCGTGATGGCTGCGGCAAAGCATTCGAATCGTCGTTCTTAGTTCGCGCTTAAAACTGTTTTATGTAAATATGTACTGCTCGCGTAAACTACAGACAACATTATTCTAATACTGACTGTAGTTTACGCAAGTAGTACCCAATTAAACAAAACATTTTTAATGGTTTAAAACGCAAAATATAATGCTATGCAGCAGCCATCGAAACGTCACTCCGTAGTTAGAATAATTTGTAAATAAGTTTAACTAACATATTGCGCGTTTTGAACCATTAAACATTCACATAAAATTAAACTTAAATAGGTATAAAGTTTTGAAACCAGGGGCTGCAAAACATCCAAAACGAGAGTCGTATTTATATTATTGCTTATTAATTTCTCTAGAGGAGGAACTCGGAGGAGCTGAAGGCATGGCGAAATTCGTGAATTCAGAGCATTACAAGAAATTAAATGTCGGTTTCGCGCTTGATGAGGGCTTGGCAAGTCCATCTGATGAATACGTCGTTTATAATGGAGAGAGGAGCATTTGGCGTGAGTAAATATTTACAATCATTAAGTAAATATTTGCTGAATCAATGTTTTCGGGAAAATTTCGCACTTCTTTTTTCATAAATGGCAAACTTGGTGAGTTTGTTTCTTTTTGTTACAGACATGAAAGTGACCTGCCCAGGAAAATCTGGACACGGTTCCTTATTACTTCCAGACAATTGTGGAGAGAAGGTTTGTTACTAAAAAATAATCTCCATGGATATGTCAATTATTATTAGTCAACTCACAAAATTTATTTGTTTTTCATGACTTCATAATTTTTGATACCACATGATTTATAGATAAGGTACATCATTGATAAATTTATGGACCTGCGCCATGAATCGAAGAAGAAACTGGAAGAAAATCCTGATTTGACCATCGGTGACGTCACTACTATTAACCTAACTATGATCGAGGTAAATATAAATTGGGTACGAAGAATTTTCTAGGACGATGATTCTTCACATTTTAAAAAAGTAATTTGCCAGAGGCCACTCGAGGGCGGGCGCACCATATTTTCCTAGAACTTGATCCCAGAACCTGCCACACGCCTCTCAACACTCAAAACAAGCGTCTACAAAAAGTCATAAGACTAATATTACTACACAACTACTTCGTTTTAAAATACTATATTTTCAGGGTGGCATTCAAGATAACGTAATTCCTGAAAAATTTACCGCAACATTTGATCTGCGCCTGGCACTTTCTGTTAATTTCGTAGAATTTGAAAACATGGTAAGAGTACGGTATTTAGAATTAAGTTAATAACAAAATGCAGTGAAATACTATAATATATTATTTGATTGAATTGTAAGTGACCGAAAATATCCTAAAAAGCACCTAGTAGAAGATATAAGATAGATATCTTAGATAAATAATAATAGGTCTAATCGCGCATCAACCGCAGATCTACCAAACTATTATGATTCTTAGCTTAATAATTCATAATTATTTTAATCTCAATTATAATTTAGGCTGCTAGAGGCAAAGTCATGATTTTCAATAAGGAGGAAAATAAAAATGCGTAATTAACTTAGGTAAAAATGAATTACTAATCCCATTTGTGTAAGAATTATGTTATCAATTTTCGGTCACCGTGTTCATGTAGAGTAACATTTTTAGACTATAAAAATATAAATAAGTCACGTCATAAAATTGCATTTAGAATACTCTGCCTCTAGTGGACTCAATTATAGCGTATAATTGGACAACATGGTAAGGTATGTGAGTAATATCACAACTCTATCCACAGATAAAAAGTTGGTGTAAGGAAGCCGGTGCTAATGTAAAATACGAATTTAATCAAAAGGATGATTATGTTGCTCCAACTCCTGTTGATGCCGATAATCAGTTTTGGGTAGCATTAAAAATGGCGATTGAAAAACTGTGAGTGAGACTTATATTCTCTCTAGAATTAAGTTATTATGTTTTATTATTAGTATTGGTTAAGCCGTAGTACAATAAACAAGGCTCTTATTGTTTAATTTTGATTCAATAAAAAGATGGTTCGACCATAGTAAATGTCAAATATCACATAAATGATATGTGATATTGTGGTTTGAAATTTTATTTATTGTTATAGTGGCATCCAATTACTAGTTCGGACGTTTCCCGGTGGCACTGACTCTCGATTTATTCGCAAGACAGGAACACCAGCTTTAGGATTTTCACCTATTCGCCGCACACCACCTGGATTGCATGAACATGATGAGTGTCTAAAACTATCAGTCTTTCTAGAAGGTATCAAAACATACGAAAAAATAATTCCTGCCGTCGCTAATTCATAAATACAAGATTTTTATTCTGAATCCATTAAACAAGTTTAACTGCTAAGGTTTGTGTATCTTTTTTTAATCATTTGACAAAAGGACGTTCTATTAAGTCAGTAAGTAAAAATATAAAAAAAGCTAATAACAACACGACTAATGCAACGGGTTTGACTTATGTCATTTACACCTGACGATGACAGCTTATACTAGTGAAACCGTAAATTGAAACCTCGATTTAATATTTTCTTTCACCGCCTTCAACCTCTTCTTAGAGAAAAATAATTACCAAAAAATATTCCAGTGCTCTGTGTTCGCGTTACTAACAATTTTATTCGTATAGTGTGAATCATAATAGTTTCAACAGTTACCAATATGTGTTATAAATTACTTGATTTGCCAGATGAAATCCTTGTACTGATCCTGAAGAAGGTAGACCTCAGGAGTACTTACAATTTATACAACACATGCGCTAGAATACGACAAATAATATGTTTGTACAGAGTGGTAAAGTATTGTGATATGTCATTAAATACAATGGCTTCAGTGCAAATATTAAAGGAACAATTCTTCAAAGGCATATCTCCCTTCATTGAAGATCTCAACCTGTCTTGTGTAAATAACTTAAATAAAACAATTTTACTAGCAGCAGTGAAACGATTGACAAGTCTGAAATCTATAAATCTTAGTTTTACAAATATTAGCATCAAAGACTTTTTAATTATATATAAAAGTTGTTCTTCTATAATAAGTGCCAAGCTTGACTTTGACTTTGATAAAAAGAAGAATATTCAACAGTATGAAAAAGTAATACCTGCAGCTGTTCTTCTTGAATGTCAAGATGTGTTTAAAAATTTTGAATCTGTACAATTCAATGGCTTGCTTTGTAATTTATGTGCAGCAATCTATCTGATTCAGAAAACTAAAAATGTATCTTTTTATTATTATGTTTGCAAACAGAATGATAATATTACAATGTATACGGGATTTAAGTTGTTGAGTGTCCCCCTGTCTTTTAAAAAGTTTTTTATAGATTGTTCTCCATTTATTCGTAATACAACAATAAATTTGCAACAAATATCTTTTGCGGACGTTTTAGACACTAGTGAATGGATTATAATAGAAGTAATAAATCATTATGATTGTATTGTATATTGCTCCCCAATATTTTCACAATTCTTCAAGAATACATTTAACAAGAATTCTACATCTGAATTTAATGATATGTTTCATGAGAAAACTGCCTTTTTTTTTTTATGGAGTAAAGAATCAAACAAGTTTGATGAAAAGTTTTTTAAGGAGTTATATAAAGTTGTTGAACAATATTTTATATATTACTTTGATTCATTAAATAGTGATCCAGTACCACATTTATATAAGAACTTTTACACAGTTTATGAACATAGAAATAACCAAAGCACGTCTATTGAGAATGGAGATAGCTATGTTAACCTAATAAAAAGACCTAGATTGTCAAAGAGTAAAAGCAAACAAATAATTAATTTTGACCATGTATTAAATGAGACAAATGCTATTCGTTTGTCAATTACATTTCCCTGTTTAGCTAGAGACCCTGTGCATTTGTCTTCTACATGCAACTTCTTATCAAAACTCACTTATTTAAGTCTTGAGGGTCCAGTAAAATATAGTGATGATTTTTTTAATACATTATTTAGGTGCAGTTCCAAATTAGAAACATTTAATTATGAATGCCAGACTATTTCCTATATAGCAACAATTGCACGATCTGTACCATTGAGCAAGTCCATTAAAAATATACGATTAATTGCTAAGGAGATTAATTATAAAACATTAATATTATCTTTTAGTCAATGTAGAAGTCTAGAAAATGTACACATAGTAAACATGGGTAGTGATTTCCAAGTTGAAAATTATATGACAATGTTTCATAATTGTCGTAATCTATACTGCTTGTACCTTTATGCTCATTTAAGTGAAAACATGAAATTGAAACAAATGCAAATACTAAAACAAAATAAATTACAAAGTCAACATATTTCTATAAATGTAATAAATGATTTAAATCTTGAAAGTCATTTACACTACCTTCCTTACCTAACCATCTTTGATCTAAAATATAAAAGTTATGTTTCTTAATTTGTTGTATTATTGAAAACGAGTTTAAACATTTATTACCCAATAAACCGTATTTAAATGATCCATTTAATAGTAATAACATTGTTTATTTATATCAAATATCATCAAGCATTTAAAAGAAGTGTAATTTTGTTGTTTCAGTTTATTGTTAGTAATTATTTTTAAATATGCCGCGTTATACCAAAAACAATATTTGCCCATAGACTACTATATATGTATTCAAATAATATTAGTTGTTAGTCTGTAGAGCATGAAAGTTTTATTTAATTCAATTACATTTATAATTAAATTAAATTTTATACAAGTCAACTTCTTTATAAATATATAAATTCTCCTGTTCATATATTCAAAAAGTGGTTAAAGGTAACCTTTGAAAAATAGTCTATAGATTGTACGTATTCGTTCGATATAACTAATATGTCCTTGTTTAGTAGGTGGGTAATAATGCCAACTTAGAGGGTTTTCAACTAAATTTCGGGTAAAAATAAGGGGACTGTGGGCTTTTATTATACGATATTCAGACTTCTACGAAACATGAAAGCAATATGTAGCAGTATTTATTTTTTAAACTTAGTGCTAGGGGAAACATTCGGTAGGAAACTGGTATCACAAAAAATAGGCCAATGAAAAATGAGACCGTCAAGGAGAGATCTTGACAACAAAAATACTTTCTTTGTTTACTGTTCTCTCCTATTGAAATTGCAAATGTAAAATGAATAGTAGGAAATTTGAAAAATGCTTTATAACTGTTGGCACCACGCGATTCGACCGACTATGTAGTCATATACTGTCGTCGCCTGTCCTTCGAGCATTAACGCAATTAGGTTGCAATGAAATAACCTTTCAAATCGGAAATAGTAATTACGACCCTGGAGAGTATATTCATGAAGGTATTAAATTTCATTTATATAGGTATAAAAATTCAATAGAAGAAGACATCAAGAATGCCGATTTTGTAATAAGTCACGCCGGTGCTGGCAGTTGTTTAGAAGTTTTAGACGCTGGAAAACCTTTGTTGGTAGTTGTCAACGAGGATCTAATGGATAATCATCAATTAGAATTAGCAGAACAACTGCAGATTGATGGGCATTTGTTTTACTGCACCTGTGATACAATCCAATGTACTTTAGAACAAGTGGACTTCAGAATGTTAACACCATTAAGTAAAGCGAACCCAATGCTTTTCTTTAAAGCACTTAATAATTTGTTTGGAATAAAATAACTGTCAAGAGGTATGAATAGTTTTAAAAAGAACTATTGCCTATGTAAATATTATAAAGGATAGGTAAATTGAAGCATCCTAATTCATAAAATCATCAAACAATTGTTACTTTATTAAGATAAATTAACTAAATTACTGAAATACAATTTATTTTCTTTCTTTTGATTTGAAAATGTTAAATAAAAAAATATATAATTGTCAAATGAAAATTTAAATATTACAATTCTTCCTTTTCAATAACTAAACTAACACAACAATTACACTAATTTCTTAGCCTCAAAGAAACTCTTAAGGTGTCGCATTTGCCAGTATCCAATCCCCATAAGGACACCTGTTTGAAGTAAGCTCCACCACAGCACTCTTTGATTTGTGCTCTCTGAAGTCTGACGGAATCTTTCTTCACGGTGCTGCAATAAGATTTTGTTATATTACTTATCAAAGATCTTTTTATAAACGAAACAGGTTTTATTTGAACTTACCCTTTGATAGCTTTGTTCTTTAGTTATTTGATAGACTTGGTCAAGTAACTGCCTAATTCTAAGTTGGAGTTCAGTGAGCTTATCCTTTTGTGCTACATTTGCATAGTCTACAGCATGCTCACCTACTTGAATGTCTAGATGCACCTAAACCATGTGAGAAAGGAATTAATATTATTTTGTGTATATGTATAGCTTAATAATAGTCACAAAACAGATTTATATGAAATGATTGACATGCTGACATATGACAGCATTATGATTTTCAGCAAAATAAATTAATAACAGAGTTGCTAATATTAAAAAGTTATGTTTTAATTTAAAAGTAAAGATATTCCTATGAAGGTGTATGTTACACACCACATTGATATATAAAGGTCAAAATATTTGGCGATCTAGTTTAAGTTTCCTCAATCTTTACCAGGGAAATGTGTGCTATCTCTACTGATATTTTAATGGGTTCACGAAAATAGAGATGTAGTTTTTTATTATAACATGATTACTATCTTAGACACCGGTTAATAGTGTTAGACAGTGTGGTGTTGTGTCACCTATATATATAAACCTAGTTAGGTTATGTTTATAAGAAGAAATAAAATAAAACAAAAAAAGTATAGAAAGTGATTTTAATATAATGCAATATTTTAAAATTGAGTTGCCTATTAAAAATACTGTGAGTAGTGGTACAGGTGATAACCTTATAGCAGCTCTATGCTTTCTGGTAATGTGATACTTAATAGTGTTCTTTTTAATATTATCGCTTACCCTCAACTGAGATCCACTAAACCATGATGTACTGTTGGAGTACATACAAATGACATGTTCCCCAGGTGTTGTAGATGTGAATGAAATCATTCCCTCAGATGAGTAAACTCTTGACAAAAGTATCCTGTCATTTGGTTCTCGAACCTCAACATGCATACCAATACCAGGCGATGAAGGCATGAAACCACCTGACCGGGGATCATACAGCTCCACCTTGTAATTAACTGGAAACGCAGTTTACGCATATAATAATATAAACACTGCTTTAATTGTAAAGGGAGATATGAACGTATAACTTTCCATTATTTGTACTTTCAGGTGTTCGCTCGTTAGCGCGGTTGACCGCTTAGTTTCTTGGTTAAAGAATATGCAAAAAGTTTAGGCATACAGTAAACACCATCAGTATCCCATAATAATAGCTTGCTGCAATTTGTAACGGTATATAAAAAAATTCATTACCGAGTACCGTCGTGTCGTCCGGTATTTCTTCTATAAAACATTTTCTTTCACCTTCTGCTATATGAAAATATAGACCCCAACTAACGTCTATTATTAACAATAGAGGAATTATAGTTGCTAGTTTAACGAACATATTTAATTCGATTTCAGGCCCAAAGACGATAAAAAATATCGTTAATCTATATAACAAATATTTGGATTTAGGAACTAATCCAAAATGTGTTAGTTAAAATTGATTGTTGACAACAGTCACAACGCCATCCTCAAACTGACGCAGTCCACGCGTCACCATCATGATGTTTTTATAGTTGCGTTTCAATTTTTATATTTTAGTTGATACTTTTGTGTAATGGGTTGTTAGAATTTCATTGTAACTATTAAAAGTGTATTATCATTTTATTGCAAAAATAATAATTTAAAATGAAATAGAACATTCATTAAGCACATATTGTTAAAAAAAGAAAAAAGTTTTTTTGAATGTAGCCTTTTCCTAAATACACATAAACAGTTGACACGGACAGGATTTTTTTATAGTATACTGCTGCTATTGTTAAAATATCTACGACCTAGGTATATAACCAGTAAATAAATAAAAAAGTTCTTAAGCAGACGCAGGTTCTCTTTACTATTTTAAAATGGATCCTTTTATAATTGCAGCCATTGTTAGTGCAATAGTTATAATAATTTTGTCCATTTCTTTTTTACGAGTTTCTCAAGTGAACACAAAACGTTAGTAATAAAGTTTGTATTTATATAACATAACAAGAATTGTCAAATATAAAACGAGTAAGATTACAAAATCATTCTGTTACAGCGGCTGCGAGACCAAGAGCTGTAGTACAAAGAGATGGAGGTCCAGGAAGAGTACAAGCTGTTAGAAATCAAAGAGCTCGAATGAGAGCTAATGGTAAGTTTCCCTGTTAATATTTAGTTTTTTTATTGGGTTTTAATCATTATAATAAGTTGTTGTTCATTTGATAAATTTTAAGTCAATTTTCGATAGAGGTACCATAAAAACATACAAAGGTGCTTCCCAGTAAGGATCTTTACAGGTACCTGTAAGGTTCTTTACAGATTCATAAATTGTAGGATAACAATTATGGCTAGCTACTAGTAATTAGTGTTAAATTAGGATTCATGTAGTTTATTATTATTATAACACAGACAATAATTCTGTAATACCCATTTTGGAACTGTTGTATGTAATATTATTGTTTGTGCTCATATAGCTGCAAGGCACGCTGCCCCACTCGAAGAAGAGCCAAATATTGTAGATGACAATGAAGAAGATAGTGGTAATGATGCACAAACAGCGGATTTTGATGACAAAATGGGAGCTAAGGTATTCACTTTTTCTAAAGAATTGTCATGTGATTAAGATCTTAATGTGTAAAGTAACTGTTAATATTTTTTTGGATAGGTTGATGTAGACAGCATAAACAAGTACACCCGAGATTTTCACTTTCAAAACTAACAATTTTTATCTGTATGCCTGCCTCAGAAGCACATACCCTTATTACCTTGGGTAGAAATTATCAATAAAACAATACTGTAATATAAAATTAATGCTTATAAATAATAATAAAAAATATATAGAGGTTCTAATATAAAATATTATGATGAATACTAAGAACTAAAGTATACAATTTTGTATATATGCATTCATTCGTAAAATTTATTTTTGAATATATTTAATTTTTATTCAGAAACGAGCTAAGATGGAAGCCAAAATGGAAAAGAAAAAAGCTAGAGAAGCTGAGGAAAAACTAAGAGAAATAAAAAAAAAACGTGACTTGGAGTTGGAGGAAGAAAGGAAAATGTTACAAGAGAAAAGAGAGGTACATAATATTTAAGTGTGTTATATTCTGCCTAGTTACCTAAACCGTTTCTTGTTTAAGTGGTTCTGGTTGTACTCAAGAGTATTATTGACATTTGTTTCGGCACCACTGACGCCATCTAGCGTAAAGCGGAGGAAACTGTTAGATCGCTAGGATCGATACGCAATCTTTCTCTTAGTGTGTGTATGTGGATGCTGGAAGCTGCCTCAAATTGATTGAGTTAAAGTTTTTTCCCTAGTGTGCGAACCGCACATTATTTTGGTGCCCGATCCTACTAATATTAAATCTATCATTTAATTCGGTTAGCAACTCGCAATTTGGAATAATTAAACGATTAAGTTTTCGAGCACGGTTAATTTATATATTTCATTTTGTATCTACCCTAATTTTTATTCTTTGTTTCATTTTCAGTAACTGTTTTTTTAATCAAAATTAATGATTTTGATTGAAGATGTCGTTTCATACTAAAAGACAATTAAAAACCGTTGTTAAGGCTCGTAAATCGATAGATGAGAGTCCTAATATTAATTATTTACCAGTTTTAAGGCGAAAGCGTACTTTAATTATAAATAGAAACAAAATATATAGTACGGCCGATAAGAAATCTCCAACGAACTCGATATGATTGATTCTTTTTACGCATAATTTTTACTTTCAGGAGGAAGAAAAGAAAGCAGAAGAAGCCGAACGTAAAGCAGAAGAAGAAAGAAAGAAACGAGAACAAGCCGAGTATGAAGCATTAAAAGCCGCATTTACTGTTGAAGGTGAAGGTTATGATGAAAATGAGGAAGAGGATGCAGCCAGCCTTTTACGCAACTTTATCGACTACATTAAGGTAAGCGATATCTTGCTTTTGTATTTAATGACTTTTTAGGACAATGCTTAAAATTACCTAATCTAGTTTACCAACTAATAAAAATGGAATTCATTGATTAACAAGAATTATTCACTTCCAGTATAATTGAAATTTTTAGTATACCTAATGATTTTATCATATGAATGATTTTATCATTGTGAATTATAAGCAAAATGAAATATAGTAACTTAATTATCCTATTATTTGCAGGCACAGAAAGTGGTTTTACTGGAGGATCTGGCAGCTCATTTTAAATTAAAGACACAAGCAGCGATAGACAGAATAACCGAATTGCAGACTACGGGACAGTTAACCGGAGTCATAGATGATCGTGGAAAATTCATTTATATAGCCATGTCTGAGTTACAAGCTATGGCTAAGTTTATAAAGCAAAGGGGTCGAGTATCTATATCTGAATTGGCTGAGAGTAGTAACCAACTGATCAATTTAAATCCTGTTCCTGTTTCTTTGTAATTTGTTAATTATCACAGAGATATTCCTTGTTTTGTTAAATTTTATAGTAAACATATTTTAAACAATTTTTTATTATTACAAAAACCTTTATTAAATACAGCTAATTAAACTTATACTATACATTACTCATTCACTTCATAACCAAACATATCTCTTCCTTTTTCTAACAAAATTAAACTAGATTGTTTTATTCTTTCCAATAATTCTTGAAGTTTATTCTTAGTAAAAACTTTGTACAAACATCGATTTTCACCTGCAATTAAATCACACATTTTTAGTGCTTCTTTGTGATTACCAACATCATCATTACTTTGCAAAATTTTTATAATTAATGTAACAATCTCAGGAATACACAATCTTCTCAAAGTATCTAACTGTTTTAATCTTTCCTCTTTTTCTTCTTGTGTAAAATTTGGTGAAGACACACTGTCATTTTCATCTTGCAGCCAGCCTCCAGGGAACAGCAATGCGTTATATAATAATGATTTCGTATGACGCGACTGATGTAAGACAGTATTTTTCCATCTCGCTTTTTGTTGTTCAACTTGAGCAACTTTCTGTTCATGGTGGACCTTATCGGAGAAAGTAGCATCTGAGGGCAGAGGCTCAACATCTTTAGGCTGGCCGCTAATATAATGCCTGTACCATGTAGCAAAACCCTCAATTGCCTCTAAATAGGCTCTTAAACAAAGATGCTCTCGTAATTCTGAAGAGGTGGGTGGGAGTTTTTTCACTAGGTCTGGGAACATATTTTTAACATTAGATATACAACTTATGGCTGCTTCTGTATTACCAATAAATATAAATGTCCGAATCATTGCATTGCTCAACCATAAAGCCTCTGATAGTTGATTTGGTAATAATGCTAACCATTCTAGTGATAAAATAACTTTATTTACTAGAGTTTTATCTTTTTCAACAAGAGTTGTTTGTGAAAAGGTTGCATCAATATTTCCATAGCCTTGTTGAATATCAGATATTGATTTTTTGATAGCCAATCTTGCCGATGCTGCTACATCAATTGCAGCAGTTACCCCAGCTTTGACAGTTGCTTGTCTGTAGTCACTTTTATGAATCCTGTCCATTAATTCGGCATAAAGTGTTATTTGCTTTTCTTTTGGCACTGTAGAAGTATAAAAGGCAATTAGCTCTGGACAGTCACATGACCCTTCTACAAGATTATCAATCAATTGTGAGACAAACTTCTCGAGAATTAAGTCTCCTATATCATGTTGTGGATCTTTACCCATTTGGCGTAAAATTAAAACTAGATGAGCAAGGAATCTTACAAATTTATCTTCAGCACTGTGCAGCCACTGCAATGATTCTTGCATGATAGATCTTATATGTCCTAACATTAAATATCGCTGACAAGTTTGGTAGTTTGATTCTTTTTTACCTTCTAATAAGGACTTGACTGCATTAAAAGTTTGTTGCAAGGATATTTCAGTTGTACATAAATCAGACTGAAGCAATTCTAGAACATCAGGAGTTGTTGTATTTGCTTCAGCTGTGGCATAATGTTCATGTAAGAATCTGTCCACTCTAGCTTCTATTTGCACCCTCAAATGAGCCCACAATAAATCTTCCCAATTGCCTTGACAAGCAGGAAGAGCACTTTGTAAATGGCCACATAATACTCCAAGGGCGGCTCTATAATGAATATTTTCTGAATTATTAGTGGCAATGCCAAGTGCACACCATTTCCATAAATCTCTAGCCTTATTTCCATTTAATTCCACAGTTGCAGATTCTTCTTTTGGTAAATAATGAAGCAACTGCCATCCTTGTAATACAGCCCCGCGCCACGCCTGACCTGCACTAATACAAAGTGATATTGCTTCTTTAAACTTCCCACATCTTATTTCAGTGAAGACCATTTTACACAAATCACTGTCATCTTTTAAATCATCTGTATGCAATGTTTTGTTTTGACGCTTAGGTGCATCTGGATCAATTCTTGTGACCATAGCTTTATTTCTTTCCTTATTAAACAAACTGGTTCCCAAAAGTAATTGATGAAGTGTGTTACCCCAGTGAAGGTGGTTTGATATTACAGGAACAGCAGTCCGTGTACTTTGATCTTGATAAGCTGCTGCAGCTTCTAGCCAGTCTACCAACAACTGAAGCAATCTTAATTCAGAATCACTTTGAAATAAAGCGTTGACTAAGGTTTGTTGGGACAGTGTCGGCTTAGTTATTAAACACTCAAATGATTCTCGGTTCTCTGACAAGGAGTCAGCATAGAGACAATGGAGAAGCTTCCATGTGTTTGCTTCTTCAGCTAGCCAGTAATTGTTTATATTATAGCGGTTCCAGGGTTCAACTAGCTCGAGGGAGTCGCAACAGGCTTGAGCTAACCTTGCTAAGGTGTCTAAAGCATCGCTGGGACGACTCGACTGTATTATTTCAAAAAATATTTCGCTTAAACCATTTCCTGAACTTGTAATAACTGTTGACTCATCAAGTATTTGTCTTAAGCTAGTATCATTGAACGTTTTAAAATATGAAGAATCGTTGAGAATAGGAGAAATATTCAATGTATCTTCCCTAGACGTGAGTTGCCTTGCACGGTTACCTTTGAGAGGCGTCCGTTGGGTTGAATGCATTATACTTTTATCAAAATTCATAACGTTTAATTAAATTACTCAAACTTCAAAATATATAATAATACAAAATTAACGACTAGCGTGGCGCGAAACAGTTTTGTCTTCAGATTTATTTATTATGGTGACGACAGAATATATATATTTGCTACAGCAAAATTGCAGACTCACAGATTATACCAAGTTACGACGCAATCATCAGTGAACATTTAAAAATAATTGATAACTTGTTAGTACTGTTAGTATAGTTCAATGTCAAACAATATTATATTGATAATATTATTTTCAAACTACTACTAAGGCAATGATTACATGATATAAATTAAAAAGTATTAAACTTCAAAAACAGATCTACTATATTGAGCTGTTAGTATCCATAGATTATACTGTACTTGTAATATGTTTGGTAGTCCACGATAGTACAATTCGTTGAAGTTAAAACTTCAAAGTTGGAATCTGGGGAAATAGGTAGGTTGTACTTGATATTTCTATACTTATTATTTAAACAATCTAGATTTTTTACATTTAGTTACTACGCTTATACATTTATTGGAGTTAACAATCATGCCATAAATAAATTAATAATTTACAAAAAAAGCAAAATCTATTATTATAGCAGAATTAATATATACTATATAAATGAATACATAAGTATTTATATAATATTACACCTAATCATCTAATAACCGAAATTGTGTATCTAGTACCTATCTATATATAAATTCTAACTTAAACTTTCAAGAACTCTAGAATAACAACTCAGGTTTATATACTAGATATTACAAGAAAAATTAAATATGTTCATATTTGATCATAAATATTCATATTTGCAAATAGGAAATATAATTTTCTTTGTTACATATTTATTGTTATTTTGTTACTACATCTTCTATTATGTTAGGTTTTTTTGCACATGCAAAACAAAATTTTATTTGTATTAATTTAAAGAAAAATGTTACAGGATTTAATGTTCAAATTTACACCTGTTCTTTTCATAGTTTATAAAAATAACTTCATTTTAGATAATTATTTCTAAAATTTGCTTGCTCAGTCTGAAGTCAAAAGATTTCTTTGTTGGATCATGATTTAATTTTCAAAAGTGCCCTATTAAATGTAATACTATTATGTTAAATACTGTCTATAGTTGACACGAATAGTACACATTTAAATAAAACACTTTAACGGTTTAAAACGCGATATATTAGTTAAACTTATTTAAAAAATGATTTTTAACTTCGGCCCGACGTCTCGGATGCGTTAAAGTGTTTTATTATTATATATAAAAAGACTATTATGTTATTTATCAAGAACATTTATTTGGATCTGATAATATAATATGTGTGTTAAATATTGTCATCTTGCATGGTATGTTCTAAGTTAAAATAATTGTTCTGCCAAATTCTTATAAGTTTGCATAATAAATGTATGAAAGAAACACTAGAATAATATTATAAGAGTTTATGTGAAAAACGTAAATTATTTATAATAGCAAGTAAACACATGCAACATTTACAATGCAACAGCAAAAAATAGAAACATATATATCTAGCTAATGTTTAGTAATGAGATATATAGAAAATATACCTTGAAATTCAAGAATCATAATAATCAATGAATAATAAGTTGACATGCTGGAATTTTGAGTTTAATATTTTTGGACATGAGAATTAACTTTAAAGGCATACCCTTTTTAAAAAATGATTATATTTTGTTTTTCTAGAGCAATGATACAACTATTTCAAAGTGCCAAGACATTTAGGGATTCTTTTATGCCTCTACTATCTCTTTCTAAAGTTCATACTAGAAAAAAGAAACACATATAAATCTGACATTATTAAAAAAAGTTTTAGAATTAGTATTATCTTAAAGGTGTTTTGTGACAGTTAACAATTTGTCATTTTTTTTGGATGAATAAAATTAAACTTTTGTCAGACAACTGTCATCAAACTGTCTCCACTCTGCATCTTTGAGGTATTAAATAGGAATCTACACTTATTTTTTAAATAGGACCAATAGCTGCTTTATATTAACTAGTAGAAATTTTAAAACATATATTTTTTCTAGAAAGGAAAATATCTGAAGATGGACAACATGAAGATTTACCAAGAATTTACAAATTTCCATTATAAGTCCAGAAAGTGTTATAACATTCAGGTAAATATTTTTTATTACTTATGATTTCTTTTAAATAGAAATATTGAAATGTTATGGTTTGCATGTATTAATTATTTTTAATATCACATAAACTACAAGAAAATATATGTAACCCAGACATTTAATAGGCTAAATGTGTAGCAATAAAAAATATCTCTGTTCTTAGACGTTTGGGTGTTACATTATAACCAGATCTATCATGGGTTACTAGAAATTAGAATTATGTCTCACCTATTTATAATTTGTAGTATATAGTACTATTATTGTAGGTGTACATATAAGAATGAAAAATTAAATTAACATTACAATTACATCATGCAATCTTGCTGAAGGCAAGTTATAAGTAAATATGTATGTCCAACAAAATATTTTCATTTCAATTATTTAACTAGGTAAAATGGACATTCCAATTTTCTGTATATTAATTTTTCAATACAATAATATGAAGTAATTAAATGTCTTGTACATGATAAATTATTATTATTGTGGTCCCATTCTGTTTGGAAAAAAATACATAATCTAGTATGCAGCTTTTCTCTAAAATTATGCAAAAAGATATATTATAATATCAAGTTTCTTCATCTTAATAGATAAATTAATATTCATCAAAATTTGGTTCATTATGGTAGGTGGAAACTAGCATAATGTTAATCATTTTAAAAAGTTAACTGTTGTCTATTATAGTTAAGCGACTGTCAGCTGTCAATGTAAATGGTGGTTATAGACCACGTCACAGTTCACACAATTCCCTTGACAGTTGACTTAATCTTTGGTCAAGGACAAGCACATAGCAGTGATTCAAAATGGGCGTTCCTTCTATGTAGCATTGAAAAAACGTAGAATAATCTCGGGCATAAGAAAACGGGGCCCAAAGTATTTGAAAATAACTTTTTTTGTTTAGTACACACAAAAAACAGAAAATACACAATATTTATCTAAGCACAAAATTGACAATAGCTCAAGCCGACACACGATAGCGTGGCCGTTGCGACGTAGAAATCTATGGTCGAAAAACGAATATCACTTGATATACTTCTTTCTCCTAACTCCCAAAGTATATAAAAAAATTGAAGGTACGAGTATATTTAATTAAAAATAATATTATAACACTAGTTTATATTTTAATATTATTCAACAACTAATTGCAATTTCGCAACTTTTAAATAGATTGCATGTTTGACTTTACCGCGCAAGTACTAATTTGGAAACTTATTGTCATCTCTTTTTCTCATGCTGAACTCGGAATTATTCAGCTTTTTCGTTTCTTTCTGCCGCTAGTTTAGCGTTGGAGGCGATCTAGCTACGCTGTATTTCGTCACTAGTTTTGTGATTCTACTCAATAAAATAGTGTTTTGAAGACTATTCCGCCATTGTTAATAAAATTGTCTTTGTCATCTTCGCGTTTTAGTGGTTATGTGTGTGTGACTTTTGCATAAAAACACAATATCAATCTTTGAAACTGTTTTTAAGTGTATCGTTTCCTGTTATATATTGCTCTGAAACAAGCAACTGCAGCTGCTGGCGTTCTTTTTGTTATCACGTGGGTTAAATTTTCTTTACTGCTTGATGATATGAATATCGAATACCCATTGTCGAAATGCCGCTAACTGTGTTATAACCGGCATGTAATCAGTGCTTACATTGTTTTTCAGAAGCGCGCGGAACGCAGTCGAGTAGTGCCTCGAAGCACGGCTCTCAGAAGCCGGCGGGGTCATTTGTGTAGAATGACCGCAGTGAAAAGTACAGTTGTGAATTGTGCAGTGTTGGTTTAGTGAACAGTGTTGAAGTGGGCGTTACATAAGACCGGAATGTTTGAGATTGGGATCCCGCCCTGACGCGATCAGCGCCGGTGTCCGCGGCGGGCGTCGCTCGTGTCATGGCCCCGGCGCTCACTGTGACACCGCAAGCGACACATTACGAAGTAGTTGACGAGGCCGACAAATTAGCCCACCGACGACGGGCCCTTGCGTCCGTCAATAACCTCTCAACACACATGGAGGAAGATGATATGGGTCTCCAAAACCAGCCTAGCTTGGCGAAAGATTCTCAGGAGATGGAACAGATCCTAGTTGATCTAGGCAATAGTGATATAGTTCAGGCTGATTTACTTCAAGCCATCAAAACACTGGAGAGCAGTGGAGACGTTTTATCAACAGGAGACCCCGATGCGATTTTCCCTTTGTCTGGCTTTGATCTACCAGAGGCTGTCGATTCAGAAGGTGATGCGACTGAGGATAAAGTGAGGCTCCTACAGGCTAGGTTAGAACGTAGATGTGCATTCCTGTTAAGGAGGTTAAGGATATTGCAGTCACGTTCTATTGGAAAAAGAGTAGCTGAAGAAGCTACTAACACTTTTGAGAGGTGCACTCGAGGTGCTAGGAAAGATGGTGGTGGAAGACCTATGGGTCTTAAGGCATTTATTAAGAGAGTTGAAACAACATCAGCTTTACAAGCAAGCGCAACTTCAAGAAGTGTAGTTGGGCCAAAATATTATAATGCAAGTACATCTAAAGGTGATGCATCTAGATCAGCATCACTTGGTGTTCCATCTGGGACACTTAATGGGCTAGAGGATACGGCAGGAAGCTTGCGGTTTCATTTATCTGTGGTGAAGAAGCAACTGGATTCTGATGCCACTGCTTCATCCTCGGGAGGAGAGAGTAATGATGAGGCTATTGTTTACAACAATCAACATCAGCAACATATGCCAATGTAAGTTATAATTCTCTTATTGTTATAAAGTTTCAGATAAAAAAGTAAAAACCTGTATTTGAATTTTAAAGGATCAAATTTCAAGATTCAAAATTTTTAGGAATAGCTAAATGTTTTATAGAAAGTAAGTCCTGCATTCTCGTAGTAAATTTCTTAATACTAAAATATCTGCAATCATGAAAGTTGAAAATATTAAATAAATCTCTAATATCCTATCACTTATTTACTAGAAGGTCATCATAGGAAAAGTATGCACAGTGAATAATCACAGTATCTAATAAATGTTGAGCCTTACTCTTGACCTGTTCTACGGTAGACTAAAACATGAACATACTACTATTCTGTGTGCTGGAAAAATAACTTGCTGCTCTCTATTTAACTAGTACTCATTGATTATGACTATTAGAACTTGTTTAGCTATGAAAAGTAACAAAGTAAACAGCTACTAATAAAATAAAGATAAATTTATACAATTAGAAGGGAAAGTTGTAGTAATTTAAAAAAACATTTGGAAATTTTGATAATTATACACACACACAACTTTTTTTATATAAATAAATATTTCCCCGTTTTTAATCTTGTCACCTTCAAATTTACTTCTAAACCTCTATAAATTCCCTATTGCCCCTTGATGTATAAATTATATTAATTAGTAATATTGTATACACATGACTTTTGCTCGAATTTGACTGTATTTTTTTTCAATAAGACCTTTCCCCTAAATTCTTTACATAAAAATTGTGTATTATTATTATTATTTGCTTTCGGGGACACCTGTGGTAGGACGGGTGATCAGTCCATGTTATCAGCTGACCATTTCACCCATTTCCCCATTTCCTCCTTGTAGAGGTTTTGGGTCATCCAACTCTCCCTGTGTCCCCTTCAAACCTTCCGGTTTACTTGCAGAATCTTATTATTTTTTCCATCTGTAATTCTTTGAACTCATCTTCTCTAACTTCGTCCGAACCCATATGTGTTTGTCTCAGTCTCGAGTATGCAGAGCATTCAGTGAGTAGATGGATGCTTGTTTCCTTACATTCTCTGCACTCCGGACATAGGGGGTCGCTGCCTATTCCTATCATTGTAAGGTGTCTGTTTAGATGGCAATGTCCTGTTATGATTTCTACGATGAGTCGGATAGTCACTCTCGTTAATCTCATCAGGTTTTTGGTCTTCTTTTATCTAGGCTCTATATGAATATCTTCGACTGTCTCATTTCAGTCGAAGATTTCCATCTTTGGTTTGTTTCTTCTATGATTCTGCGCTCGATTATTCCCTTGAAAATTGTGTAATTCAACACAAGGGTTTTGTATATATAGTTTTTAAGCTTGATAAATGTACAATTTCAGAGAGAAACGTTCCTTATGGTCGTGGCAGCGAGCTCGTGCGTCCTTGGCGTCGCGTTGGTGTTGGCTGCAAGCGCAAATTCAAGAGCTGGAGTATAAAATACGGCAACATAGTGATCTGCAGAAACAGGTGAGTCATATGGTACTTTTGTAGTTGGTTATACATGATTGTAGGTAGAGGTTACTTGTTGCTCAATTAGGTTGCAATCTCTTCTGTACTTAATGTAATTTAATACATAATTAATTACTGAATATTAATTGGGCGTGGGACAGGATATATTTAAATTACAATTTTAAACCCTTATTCAACTTAAAATAATATTAGTTTAGTTTTGTGTAATTGCATAACTTATGAATGTTTAGGGATTTTCTGAACATGTTAGAATATGCAGTATAACTGTGAACTTTGACATTGTGGAATGGGCCCCTTTTGTACACATAATATCAGCACTGATCCTTTCGTGATTTTTGAGAATAGCAGCATAGGCTTTCCTTCAATGATATCTGACACCAGCATTCAAGTTACAATTAAGTAAATACTGTGTGAGCAGGTCTGGTATTAATTTGTAATCCGAGTTAAAACATCTATTGCTTTACTTTGATGTGTAAACATGTGTTCGATTGGAACTTATTGGAAGGAAAAAGTAAATGAAAAAAATCTTTGTCTTTAAAAAATTAACTTAGTGTTGAACACTTTTTTGAACAGACAAAGCCCCCGGCAAAAGCTAGTTATGAGATATGATCTTTTTAAAGCTCTTTCAATTACATTGGTTACTCATGAATAAAATGAAAGATATTTATTGATTTTGGGAACTTGTTAATATGTCATTAATTCTTATCTTATCATTTAACAAATGATATATGAGCTGTGTATGAATAATCTGGGCCGGACATTAACCCAAGTAATAGTTCATTGAGATTTTTCTTTAGCAATCCTTTACTATCATTTTATTATATCAATTACATTACATTATTAAATACAACGCTTTATTGCAATTTTGATGCAAAGGAGCCTTAAAAGATTATAGCTATCTGTATATTTATTAACATATTATGTATTTAGCAGTTGTGTCATGATTGAGTAATTAGTGAAATTTTCTTTCAAAACATTTGTTTTAATTTAGTAGTAAAGTGGAATCTTGATAACTCGAACCTCGTTTAGTAGAAATCCTTTGTAAGTCGAAAAAAAAATCTTCTCCTTTCCGCTGAACCTCTAAATACTGTCTAATCTTGAATTAATTAGACTAACTCGAATAAAATGTTATTTCCCTACGATGTATTGATAAGAATATTTATACTCTGTAAGTCGAATTTCAAAAAGAAGACTCTGTAATTCGAACTTAATAAAAATATAATAACCTGTTATTTCGACTTTCGAAATCATAGCAGAAAAATCCCAGGATGTTTGGTGTATGTTTGGGATTTCTAATCTATTGTTTATGTCTTGTACATGTGCAACGAATGACAGAACATAGAGTTTCAATTTGAACATTACGTGGCGTGTCATATGAAGGGCTAGCTACTACTGGAACACTAACTGATGATGAAATCATTTGACGTAGTTAATCAGAATATAGATGATGAAACTGACGTTGATCATCCGAATCCAGCAGATTTAGAACAATTAATATCAAATAAAGATATACCTAAAGTTAGAAACTGTACCTTACTAAATCAAAGTTTTAATAAATAAATCCTTTGTATTTTGAAATACTTGGTAGTCAAAAACTCATTACCTCGAATTTATTAGTATTTCTCTTGAAATTCGAGTTATCGAGATTCCATTGTATTACGAATTTTAATACTTAGTCTTTGTCATGTCCTTAATATCTTAGGCTAAGTAAGAGCTTATTAGCAAATAATGAATAACTTTATTGGTATATCCCTCAGAATCTGTGGCCTTGGCCTGTTTTACATAGGAATGATTTTAATAATTCATTGTTAGATGTACTAGCAAAGGTAATTGTAAATTTGGTTGCTTTTTCAAGTCTGTTATTTGTAATATTTTATTATAGGCAGGTAACTAGACATTACTAAATATGTTTTACCTTACTTTAAAATATTAGTTTTACTCTTTAACACAAAAATATTGAAAAAGATACAACTACCTTTTTGAACCAATATTATTGAGTATTAATACTAATTAGGATAGATTCTGATGTTAGGCTCAGTGGTATTACAAATTACCTAAAGCATGGAAGGTTCTGGGTTCTAAATCCCAGGAAATATATATATATATATATATATGCATATTGCATATATATGCTTAAAATTTAAATAATAAAACTGGACATTATACTATTATGATGTAACCTCTTGGTGAATTATACATTCTGTATGCATTATGATTAAAGGTACGCGAGGCCAAAGGCGCTATTGAATTTGAAGGTGAACTGGTCGGCTATGAAGGGAGCTTGCCAGGAGACGACCCGCCGTGCACCTGCGCTAGAGTACGACCCTTACGACGGGAGACGTTTAAGAAACGAAAACTTTTGCAAATGCACAATTTACACCTCGCTACCAGTAAAGCTGCTAAACCAAGTGATATAAGGTAGGTGATAAATTAAGAAGAAAAATTACCCAATAAGTGGTGAATGTTTGTTGTTATTTTAAATATGTCAACCCCTTTAGGCCTGACAGATTTAAATAAAAATAGTTGTTTAATCTTCTAACTACTTTTAGAATTAAGACACGTTAGCGCTTATAATACATAATATAAAGAGGGTACAATAAGAGTGGCAAATTGTCAGTCAATGTATGACTTAAATTTTAAATTGCTCTAACTCTACAGATGCAGTTGTGTGTACCCGATTGAGTCGTGCCCGGTGTGCACTGGGCGAGCGGAGAGCACGCAGCCCCAGCCACCGTTTAGCACGCTCGCGCCACAGCAGCGAGTCGCGCTCGTCGACCCTGCCTACCATCCAGTACTGAGCGATGTCAAAGGTAAAAATACCCCAATTGGGACTTCTGATGATGCATGTCGTACTTGCAAGTAAATCTTAAAAGATAGACATATAGTGTCGCGGACATTTTTTTGATCATTTAATGAGGAAACATACTTTCTAAATTTTTTTTTTGGGTAATGTAAACCGTATTAGATTAATGGCACATTTTTTAAGATTATAAATTTCCTGCTGTTTCTTTGGTCGCGGCGTGATGTTTTATAGGCTAAGACCTTCCTTAAGAAATTTTAAAAAAAAAAAAAAAAATTTTTTAAAAAAAAAAAAAGAAAACCCAAAGTTTGTTTTTTGGAAAAAAAAAAACCTTAAGGACTTTTAGTACCTATAGATATACAAGCATCAATTAAATTTTTTTGTTAAACTTATTAGTGTATAAAAATGTGTTTAGTACGCGATATTTTATTGTGCATTAAACACTGGTGCCATTTTTTGGCATAATATTTTTAACTCTCAACAGATATAACACCGTCAAGCCACATGAGTGCGCTGACTTCCCGTTCGTGGTTCCGATCGCGTTTCAAGTCGTATCGCGGGGCGCACCAGTCGTCCCTGAGCAAACATGCGCATGCGCAGATGCAAGCCTTCAACTCGCCTGCGCAACCGTCGCACTCGAACAGCACCAGCACAGCGACAACCACTAAACGACATCCCACTAGTATGAGTTTTCATTTTTTAATCAGTCAGGTATTCTAGGGTTTATTAGTTTGTGTTCTACCCTTGCTTATATACAATTTTATATTAATTTGCACCCATTTGACCTAATAGGGCTGCATATAAACTAAGATTCAGACGCATACATTATACATATTATATACAGTATATTGTAAGTATAAGCTACCTTGACACTCGCTAAATAGTTAATGGTTAAATCCGATATACAATAAAAAAATATCAAAAATGGTATAAATATAATCAAGCCGTTACTGAAAAGCTGCATTTTTAACGAGATATGTATGTAAACAACATTTATTGTTAGTTACAAACGGTTAAGTTTGTACACAAAATCAGTAAAATTGTTATATTTTAAAATTAATCAGTTGATTTGAAACGTTTGATGCTTCATTTCAGGATTGAAACGAGGCAGACCGCCGCTATCCCGCAAAGTAAAGGAACGCGACCGGGATGAAGAGACCTCAACATCAGGACAGGAACGGTTTGTAACTCTTACTTATTTCAACGTGTCGTAAAATCTTTTCCTAAAAAATATTTTTCGCTGGCTAAAATGAATGACTGGCCTTCCTCAATGAATGGTCCAATCAACACACATTTTTTTTTTCATTCTAACCCGTAGTTCTTAAGATTGGCGATTTCAAAGAAAAGAAACAAACTCTTCATCTTTATAATATAAGTATAGATGTTGGTGTCTATAATATTAACTTCTTCAATTTGCAGAGCAAGGGGGCGTGGTAGCACAGAATCACGCGGCTGGCGACGGCAGTCCTACGATATAGATAATATCGTTATACCACAGAGTATAGCAGCCAACACTAGGCCAGAGATACTCACATATAAGGAAATCATCACTCCCAAGTATGTATTTTACTATTCCTCTATAAAATGCAGACAGAAAGAAGTAGTCTGAATTTATTAGACATGGTAACGAGACTCCATTACTATATTTTAATTATAAACTCTTAAACAATAATAGCTTATTCCTAACATGTTAAAATCATTACCATTGTGTGTTGGTAAAATAAAACATTTCATTTTCAGATGGCGAATCTTAGATATTACAGCACCTAAATTGAATAACGGATTAAGCAATTCCAATCGTATGTCAGTGGATGAAAGCGAGGTAATCAATCCATATTTACGTTAGAAATTATTTAGGATCACTACATTAAACCTTAATAGTTTTTAGAAACTGATTCTCTAAAGACGATCACAATACAGTTTTAAAGTTGTTCTTGGGTTCGAACTCTGAAACACCGTATTTGAATTACCCAGCAAAGCATGGAATTGTGAACACTCAATAACATTTGAAAACTCAAAAAGTGCTTGGCCCAAACCTTACAGAGGGGATTCACTATTTATTGTTCTTGAATATTTATGTATTATTAAATATGCAGGATGAAGATATAACAGAAATGGCGGTGTACCAAAGGCATGCTCGGGCCGAAATTCAAGAGAGGAATAGGTACCTCCGCAAACAGCGGACGAGACGCAACAACACGGAGACCGAAAACCTGGCGCCAACGATTCCCGAGCCACCGCCTGCGCAAGCGCAAATCAACCATCAACCCCAGATAAAACCTCAGAGATTAAACACCACGCTTAATCAGACCAACAGCACGACGCATAGTGAGGTATTTATCACCTAAGTACATTTTAGAAAGTCACATTTAAATTTCAGGATATTTTTAACTTTAAGGACAGTGGCCAAATAATGGTTATGTATCAGAAAGTCCGTTTTTTATTGTAGGAAATATTAATATAAAATATATTAAGTAAGCCAGAAAAAAGATTTTTTTTTCAAATATGATATTATTTTATCAATGTAGAAAGTATCGTTAGGGTTCGCATATCGAATGTATCATTAGATAACGTTAATAACGTCCAATATTTTTTGCTATTTATATGTAAAGAGAAAATAAAAGTATTTTGATAATTTGCATGGAGTGGAACGATTTGTCATCGACGTGCTATCGATTGACATTTCGGATCAATCAATCAATTAATCAATTCAATCTTTTTGTACAGGGTGATATTAAATGCATCATAGTAAATGAAACCCTTTATGATTTGTTACTGGTTGCAAATCATAAAGGGTTTCATTTACTATGATACCCTTATTCAAGTCAAGTCCAATATTGTCCATTGCTAGATTAGGTAAATCATAAATATAGAAATTCCTTTAAAACTTTCAGTCTGATAGGCCGTACACACCTCGCGGCTTCCCGCTGCCGGACGACGTGTATCAAGAAATGTTATCTGTGATGCCGGAAAACTACCAGCGGAGTAGTCCTTCGCCAGTACCATCGGTCCATGAAGAGGATATGGAGGGGTCAAGTACTCTATCACCTGCGTCAGTCTTGATGTTCGAAGGCGACGATCCAGACGACGCCGAGTGGGATCCAAGCGCTGAGAAGTCTGAACGTAAAAAAGTGCTTAAATAGGGCTCGCACTACAGATAGAAATTACTATTATTGTATGACAATCATATGTAATTGATGTACATTGCCATGCTATACAAATTTCGTGATACTTTCACCTCTCTTGCATCCTTCTCACTCTTGAGTGAAATCAATGTCTGTGTTATGTGACCTTGTGATATTCAAGGTCCTCTCTACCTTTTGTCATGCAATCTCAAATTTGACTAGATTTTTTTAACACATCGCTTAATTAAAGAATGAACTCGTGTGTAATATAAAAATTAAAAAATCTAAGATGCGATGTGTTCAAACCGCTTTCGCGTCTAGCTATCTTAATGTTTTGGTATGCTTTTCGAGGATTCGAAGTAATTAAGTTTTAAATTTTTTTATTTACTCCTGGTGACCACTTTGAGTTCTTGTTCTTTTAAATAAAACACTAACGTTTTAAAACGCGATATATTATTAAACTTATTTGAAAATGATTTTTAACTTCGGGCCGACGTTTCGGATGCTTTGCAGCAGCCGTGGTCACGGGGAGACATCCGAAACGTCGGGCCGAAGTTAAAAATCATTTTCAAATAAGTTTAACTAATATATCGCGTTTTAAACCGTTAAAGTGTTTTATTTAAATGTGTACTACTCGCGTAAACTATAGACAGTTTGATTCTTGTTCTTTGTAAAGTTTTGTGTGAAAGGGACAATTCTTGTTTAAATCCGTTTTGGGATAAAAGTAATTGCTTTGGTCCTAGAAATATCTCGGTTATGTGCTTTATTTATACTAAACCAGTAGAATTTTCCCAGTGGTGATTAAAACAATTTACTATAATATATATATTCTAATTATTGTCATCAAGGTGATCCTTCTCTGTATGAGGTACAAAAATTACCATATTATATATTTGTGTGAAGAGTTAATTGAAGATATATACTTAAGTTAAAAATCTCTTGTGATTGGTTTCCTATTTTACTAATATTACGTTTTAGTTAAGCACATAATATTTAATTAAAGTAACTTTTGGGCAAGTTAGATGAAAATCATCCTATGTGGTGGTTTTCTTTTATAGCTTTATTAAATGTTAAGGCTTATTGTCAATAAGAGATTTAATTGTATATAACTATAGTCTAATGGGAATTAGATGTTTTAAACTGATGTAATAGGTAAATTCCAGGTCAGTGACGCCCATAAATTGCGTTGAATATCTATTAAAAAAACAGTGTAATATGACATAATTATCTTACATTCCTTAATTCCAATGTAGTTACACCATTAGAAATTTGATTTTTTCAATAGGCTGCATTTTAGAATAATTTTTTACCTACTGTGAATTTTAATCTAAAAATTTTAAGTTTTACTTTATTTAGTTCAAACGGATCACATTTTCCATAGTTTTGTACCATCTATTACAAAAATATGCTTAAGTAATATGTATTTGAAATGGGAGCTGTGTTTATAACTTCCTATAAATATCTTGAAGTATTAAAGGTTTTAAGCTTAAAGTAGGTGTAAAATGATAGTTGTAAGCGCCCGATCCGCAAAGCGATTGTAAATATGTAAACGGGCACTGGAGGCAACTAAATAGACTGGTTACAATAATTTGAATCTCTAAAAGAGTTTTCATTTCGGACTTAACACTGAGAAACGTCTATTTCGAATGTTTTGTTCCTAGATGCATTGTAAATAGATTCACTATGATTAGACTACATTCAAGAGTTTCATGAAACTACATTAATTTGTTTGCTTACCAAAAATTCATTTTTTTGATGTAAATATGATGCACTAATTTCCCTTGTAAATAGAGTGATTCATTTTCAGTCATACCGCATTTTGTTGTATTAAAGTGTATAAAGGTACATAAGATGAAGTGTTATTTTTAATATTCACTTTAACTGTTAAGGAAGAAGCCAAAGTCTTCTGTTAATAGTTATATGTTAGATAAGGTCTAAAAACTGATTGGAGGAAACGCTTCAGAGATGTCGTATTGGACTAGTATGCAAAATAAAAAAACTTGATTATAGCAGTGATTTTTATTTTTCACATTGAGGTATAGATAACATAAGCGATTTCATGTGGGAAAAGTCTACATTGAACGTAAAGTTTTTTATAATAGAATCCCTCTTTTTTTCCTACTTCAATATTTTAAGGATCGTAATATTTCTACATGTTAACAGTGACAGTACATCTACTTACACATTAACTTTTAAATTGTATTAATACATTGATAAATAATTTTTAAGTACATAATAAAATACACATGGGAGAAAAATGACAACCTACAACTAGCAAAAACATGGCACATTTCGTAAAAATATAGGGGGAACTCATATTTAACAGGCAGCGATATATTATATGTATTTAAAAACGAATTATTGAGTACAAAATGTCATTAAGAAATATTATTAATAGATTACAAGAAAGTTTCTAATACTATAAAAAAAGTAAAGAAATACCTTAATTTAAATATAGAGTATATGTAAAACTAAAATCACACAAATTTGCACATAATACTGTAAAATGGTGCTTACTACACAGCCTTATATACTTTCATAAATGCAACATGGAATGTTATTGACGTTCCTCTATGTGCTTATATATTATTTTATTATGTTAAAATAATCATATGTCCAATATTGTTTGCAGATTATATTCCCTTTCACTGTCTCTTTTGGAGACATATTTACTACAGATACAGCCGTATTGCATTGATTTTTTGTAACATATTTTGATATATGTATGACATCTAAAAAGTCTTTGGTGATAAGGTTCCATTGTAAGTTTCTTACCTATTGAACTTACCTGGTGTTTCTTTCCTTTGAAATTCCAAATAAACTTAAAAAGATTAATAAGCCATAGTAATCTGGCAAATCAGTGGAATAAAAATTGCATCTTTTGTATACTCTAAAGACATATATATCATGAAAACATTACCTTCATTCATGGTAGATTGATTTGGCAATACTGTTAACACATTTTAATTGATATTTCGCGAAAGATCTTGAATGCGTCTGGCATTGCATTCTTTGCAGTATAAATGGTCATCTAGTGGGTAACAACCCCGACCTTCCTCCCGTGAACATAGCGATGCACCACAGTCCTCGCAGGCATAACAAGCAATGTGAAAACTCTTGTCCAATGCCACAATTCTGACGGTTTCTTCTGCCCCACCTTCTGGGACTATGGGTTCACGACAACGGGCACATCGAGGCGCGTATCTTAAAAGCAATATTTGCTTTAATACAATTAATTCTCAGTAAATGAATGAGCTGGTTAAAAGAGATTAGAAGATAATGCAAATTTTAGGCAGAAGTGTTGATTTGTATGTTTTTTATTTTTTTGCGGTTTTATATACTAATAATAAGAGTTATGTCAAAGAGTTAAAATGAAAATAAAATCTGAATATTTAAAACATTCTATATCTCTAATAACTCCTACAAAATGTTTTAATAAAGAAAGGTTTTGATTTATTCACCTTTTATGAAAATCTTCGATGCAATGGATGCGATTAACAGCATCCACTGTAAATGGTATTCCATCCAGGCTCTTCTGACACACAACACAAGTAAAACAACGAGGATGGTAAGGTTTGCCCGTAGCTCTAAGGATCCGATCCAATATAGGATCTCCACATACACAACACTTCTCCAATGTCTCAAGATAATCTCTTTCACAGAGTGCTCTGCTTTGAACAGCATAGAAGGGTCTTCCCTGAAAGGAAAAACAATATCATTAAATTATACCAATTGATATGTACAATAACAAGTAAAAAATCTCTCTTGAGCAAACTGGCATACACATTATCAAATTTAATAGTATGTCACTTAGACTTGTGTTTCTATACATATATTAAAGACCAATGTAGGTACTGCACTTATATTTACTTGAAGATTTATCCCACACTGCTGGCAGCAAAAGCATTTAATATGATAAATTCTCTCCATCGCTGTGCAACCGGTTGTCTCTCCCATGATCTTCTCCCCACAGCGATAGCAATTACCACAGTATAATGCATCATCTGGTTCTGGGATTGATTCTATTGTGGTACCAACATAACCTCCATACAATGATGTTCCTGATAACTGGCTACAAGGTCGAGGATTAATTGGCTCATAGAGTGATTCATATGTAGACGAAGTTTGTGATCCACCATATGTAGAGAAATCCTGGGCGTTAACTGATGCTGATGATGGTGGATAAGCCGAACCAGGACGTCGTAACTCGCTATAATTTGACTGAACACCTAAATCACTAATCCTGGACACCTCAGACCTAGTGTCTCTATCGTAAAAATTTTCGCTTCGTTGTACTGGAACGTTGGTGTAGACATGACTGACACCACCAGGAGGGACGAGATTACTGTACAATAATACATCTCCAGTCTTTCCTCTGGCCGAATTTCTGACAATACAGCTTTTTACTGGCACTAAATTTGAGTAGGTAGAACTAGTGCGGCTGCCAGATTCCAGGCGTGATGAGTAGGATGGCTCACATGCAGATTTAACAGAGTAACTCTGAGGTACTTGAGGCAGTGGAGGCTTCGTCTTCTTGGGAGGAATGGAGGGTTTTCTTTTAGTTGTGTTTATATCGTCTTGTAGCTTTGCGTCTAACTCGTTCGCATATATACGCAAATCAGCCAATTGCTTGTCAAGTGTATTCATATTTATCTTTGTTAAACTATCGCTCTTTAATTGAGTAAATTACCGACTACTCATAATATTGTTTCATTAAAATTCTTAATAATATTAATTAAATTTGTCTTGGCACTCCCTCGTTTCATGGACAAAAACATAGAATACAGATAATAAACAAAATGAAGAGATTAATCAATATACGAAATACAAATTCATGTCAAGATTATAACAGTCAAATATTTGTGGACTACAGATACCCTATCTTACTCACAGAGATCATTAATCAAGTAGAATTTATGGATATGATTAAATGAGGGTAGACAACTAAACAAGTATTATTACTGAGTTAATTACTACAAATAAATAAATTTATTTAAAGTTCTTATCACTCTAAGGGTATGAAATGTGTCGATATCGTTTAATTATTTTATAGGCTCATATCATAGGCGGAACTTTACTTGGTTGACTCAAGCTCACGTTACTTGGTTTCTTAATTGGTAGAAAAATGGAAAGCCATTAAAAAGTTATGTTTTTTTAGTAACTGATAAATAAAACAAGCACGTCGATAGTGGTATTGTAAATATTGTTTCTAATACTTTATTTCGCTGAGAGAATTAGAAATATACAGAATGTTAACTTTTTCTAAAATATTACTTATGTCAATAGTAAGTATTGTAGTCGTATATGCATAATATTTTTGTCATATTACAAACGCATTAAATAAAGGCTTGTTAATCTATAAACAATCTACAAACACAGGGAATAGCCGTCAATTCACAAGATTATGACGGTATGTTTAATAATAAAAAAAATATTGTGTGCATTATCGTTTTTGATTCCGTCTTAGTAAAACATATCATGTTTAACAGATATGATGCCTACTGATCAGCCGGAAGAAGAGGTACCTATGAATAATAATTCTAAATACTCTTTTCTTTTCAAATATAACATACTTAAACTCAAAAAATGATTTTAACTCTTATATATTTCAGTGGCATATGGATTTCATGCCCGTAAGTTTATCTACTTTATTCGAAATTTAAATGTTAAATAGTAGTACATTTATATCTTATTTTAGACAGGTTACCTGCCCGATAGTGTGTACAGGGAATTGGCTTGGTACGGTATTCTTCAAATTCAACCGCTTCATCATAGTACGAAGCACAAAGTTGCAGCCCAATTAATTTGGCAACATACTCTTGGAAGGCCACACGTTATCATGGAAAATCCACCCCAAGTAAGAGTACTTTTACATCATATAATATCTACCTAGTATTTTTTCAACAGAAACGCTTTTTGCTCCATAAGTGTTCGTTATAGATAATTTCTTTAATTTAATACATACATTATTCAGTCCTTACAATCTGAAGGCAAGGTAAGCCGTCAGATACTTGCCGAAGAAGCAGCGAAATGGTCAAGAGAGCAACGGGCTGCTCAAGAGGTACTAATGGAGAACATTAAAAGTGGAGGAAACGGGCTAACTGTTCGTACTGTTATCAGCGCTTCAAAGAAAACTACCTACATAATACAGAATGGTAATGTCTATTAAATGAGTCAAAAGTGTATAATATAGTCTATTTGTCAAGATGTTGACATTGTTTTAATAAAATTGGCCAAAAACGCTATTAACTTTTGCTTAACGCAAATTAATTACTTCATTCATGTTAATTTATATTTTATTCCGCTTATTTAATTAATGAAGTATCATATTTATCACGAATATCATTCAATATTGGACTTCTTGACTGACTAATTTCTGCAGGTAATTATTACAAATGTCCCGAAGGGTCAGAACCAGATTTGGATGCTTATAGAGTTCAAGCAAATATGCATGAACGAAAATGCACGTACTCGAAGCAATCTATTCCTGTAGCCGTCGATCCTTGTATAGAAGCTGAAGTCGCTCCAATTGAATATTCATTTCACGAGGGCTGGATGTTCTGCCTCGGCAATGGAGAGAGAGAAAATAACTATTTCCAAAATGGTACTATCGATTGTGGAAATAAAACGAAAGTAAGTTTATACAGACTGTTAAAAACTTATTGTTCCGCAGACCTATTTAATTGTTTAAGTGGAAATTGCATCTTGTATCATTACAGAGTCGTTAGTTGTTAAGTCATCTTTCTTTGGATTGTGGTAACCAAGAAATATTTAACATTGGGTATAGTAACAAATAAAGCACAATTACTTTGACTTTATTTTTTTAGGTATCTGTTGATGAATTCCTAAGTCTCTGCGCCATTGATAATAATATTGTCATCACTTTCGATTACTTTGGAGACGAGCCTCGTAAAGATATGATGCATAACGCCACTTTATGTACTACTTGGGATCCGTGCCGATTATCCTACTTATACAGACTAGAGGTATTATTTATGAGCTACAAACAGTTCGCACGTGTACGTGCACACTCTATAAAATAAAATGACTTTTAGCCTCCACCGGTCGAACTTACTCCCGCATTTCCAACAAGTACTCCAAACCCATGTGACACAACAATTTGTCCAGAGTGCGTCGAGGGATTTACTGAAGATCAAGGAGTTCCTATTAATAGTACGTATTACATAATTACTTAATAATTATTTAAAGATCTGCGAACCAATTTTTATGTGTGCCTTAATTTTTCAGTTGCATCCGGTGAAGTTTCAAGAAAATAAAGTATCGTACACTTATGTATACTTCTGTTCAATAAAACTAATTTATTGATTTTATAAGTACCTTTGTAGGTTGTTACACAGCCGGTTTATTTAAAATTTTAATTATAACAATTTTTAGATAATTTAAAGAGGAATCATTCTTTCATACATATGTGTTGGCAATTCGTGAACTTGAACCGTTTTCGCAGCGTATGCATCTGAAACCCGCAGAGATAAAATTTTCACAGTCACAGTCAGTTCAGTTTTGTTCACATTTCCTGCTGTATCATCGCTTCTATTAGTCACAGGCCGATGTTTTAGCTTATAGCCTTCATCGATAAATGCTCTAACCAATACAAAATTAATTTTTCAATTCGAACTCGTAGATCCCGTTCAAAACAAACTCTTTGCTTTACATATTAATGATATATCATTACTTGTCCAAAATCTTATCAAAACTTTCAAATATACTAAACATATGAGGCCGCTAGACACAGAATAGCCTAACTGCAATTTTATGACTTGACTTAGGTATTTTTTTTATAGTCTAAAACTAAAATACAAAAGCACAGTGATCGAAAATTGTTAACATAATTCTTACACAAATATTCAATCAAGTACAATTTTCGCGTGCATTTTTATTTTCCTCCTAAATTAAATGTTTTTTGTTATTAGGCCACTCTACCCCTAGCAGCGTCATAATATATTATACTTTCTTCTTAAATTAATCTTAATATTATGTTAGTAAAGAGTCTAGAGACAATTCAAGGTATATACCTAAGTAACTTATTTTTATGTTTGACATTTAACCTTGACAAATGACAGAGCATAATTAAAAACGTATTATAAACTGCACTAACTCTGATAGTGCACGTGGATTTGGTAATTAAATTTCATAATGGTACTTAGAAACAGTTATCAAAATTTAATGGAAGAAACATTGAAAAATCCGCCTGGAACTTTAACACTTCCATCATGTAAGCCAAGCTTCTTAAAACTTGAGTACAGTGAAAACAACGTAAGTTTTATATTGTTTTTCTCAGTCTGATCATAATAATTCACGAGTTTTTCATAAGCTTCAATAATAAATCCTTTTAAGAATTCCAGTGATGTACACACCAAAACACCGTCCATATTACCCTTTGCTTGTAGTGAAGAGTTTGCAGCACATATTAAAAGTTGGAGAAGATTATCAGCTCCTGAAAGTCCCTATAAACCAATATATGAAATTGACTTTGACATAAAAGTAAGTAGATTCGTTATCAAACAGACTAGGCATATTATGTTGTTTTAAGTAAATATTTTGTTGTGTAGATATAATAGTGTTCAGATTATTGCACATAATTGAGTATGCCTAATATTATTTCAGGGTAGCCACTTTTCTTTTAAACCAGGTGATACTATTGGCCTAACACCTCAGAATAATGAATTTGAAGTGGAAAGTGTTATAAACCACCTGGATCTTCAATCTCTTGTAAATTGTAAATATTACTTGAGTATAAAGGAAGGACTAAAAGGTAAAGTGCCAGGCCATATACCTCTCAACTCAAGTATAAAATATGTCCTTACACATTGTGTAGACCTAAGAGGGGTTATTAAGAAGGTAATATAAAAAAAATATTAACTTTAATCACAATGTTTATGTAAAATACTTTTCTATTTTAGATATGGTTTATATTGATAAAAAATAAATAAATCTTTGTTTTAAATACATATTTCATTTTGCCATCTTTCTGATGTATGGAAGATACATACATGGACAAAAACTGCTTAAGTTCTAGTAAAAAGAATTAAAAATGGTAGCCAATTGTGTTGTAAGATAAAAGAACACATGTAAAAAAACCTTTATTTAAAATTTTATTTGAGTTTATTTTTTCTATATAGGTTGCTTTTATTTCAGCTTTTCATTCTCACTCTATCACAATATACTGCAGAAGATTCAGAGAGGAATATACTTAAATACCTTTGCAGTAAAGAGGGTTCTGCCATTTACACATCACATGTTTTGTATAAAAATATGAGTATCGTAGACCTATTTAACACATTTACCTCTTGCAAGCCGCCAATAGAGGTGTTATTTGAACACTTACCGCGCTTACTGCCGAGGCCTTATTCCATAGTGAACAGTCATAATGTTGAGCCCGATATTATAAGAATATGTTTCTCTGTTATAAATATTGAGAGTAATAAGAAAGGTCTTACAACTGGATGGCTCGAGAAGTTACTTTTAAATGACACTATTGAGGATAAACTAAATAACCTAAAACTAAATGGCACTTCAGAAACTCCTAGAATACCTATTTTTTTGCGACAAAATGTAAACAATTTTACTTTACCCTATGATTTAAAAATACCAATAATAATGATTGGTGTTGGGTCAGGAATATCGCCCTATATTGGTTTTCTACAAGAAAGAGGCTATTTGAAACAGAATTTAAATTTAGATATAGGATTCTCATGGCTATTTGTCGGCTGTCGAAATCCTGCATTGGACTTCATATATGATAAAGAATTAGGAGAATTCTTAAAAGACGGTGTTTTAAGCAAGTTAAGCACAGCTTTTTCCAAATCAGATGTTACTGAACATAAATATGTGCAGGTAATAAAAAAGATTTTTTTTTGATATAGAGTATTCACTCACTCACAGAGAGGGTTCACTCGATGGGAGGTGAAACACTCCAGCCATATACACCTTAACAAGATGTATTATCAACCTATTTTGGCTTTGGAATTCAGAAAACATATTAATTCACACCACAAATGGGGCCGGGCGATATTCCTATCACCAGATTTACTATCCAGATTTTCGAAGAATAAGGTCAATATGTTTTAGAAAAATTATAAACTTTGTCTACAAACTATATGCTATCTATAGTTTGTCCACTTTTTTTTTAATATGGATTATAAACTTTTGTTTATCAATGTATTTAATGTTTTAGGATGCCATAATACAAGATGGAGCGGAGGTGGCTAAACTTATAAAAGAAGGAGCCACTGTATACATTTGTGGTGATGTAAAAACAATGGTTGCCACAGTAAAGGACACATTAGTTAAATGCGTTGCTAAATACCATAGCATTACAGAACAGAATGCAGAAAATCTTTTATCTGATATGCAAAAAGGAAAAAGATTACTTGTTGATTTATGGACTTAAGTACATACCTATGTAATATTTATTGTGCAAGGTGCAGGTTTACAAAAAACAGTTGATTTATAAAAATAATTTAATAGGCAACTATTAATAAAATGTTCAAAAAGTGTCATTGATGTATACATACTTATAACTATGCAGTACAGCAATTAATGCAATTCGTTGTGCGACAGTAATTATATACGTAGACTGAAATTGATAACATTTACGTTAAATTGAGCAATTAAATGTGGTCTGTAACTCTGAATGAGTAACAGAAAACATTTAATTGTGGATGCGTAAAGTTAATTTGAGTATGTACTGTACATTGTAATCTCGCATGTAATTTGGATTTTTTGTAAGATTGGAAGCAAAGTATTTGAGAATTCTTTTCAATTGTGGGCTATAAGTTCGCGTTAACATTTTATATAAATAATAGCAACGTTATTAATTTCAGTCTAAAACATTACTAAAGCAGGCACTCCTGGTACTTACATCGCTTTTAAACCAATTAACCATAATTTTCACCTTTAAGCCTATATACATTCTAAATTGTATGCATTACATTTGGTATGCACTTGAATTCAATAGTAAAATATCGCTTAATAAAAATGGGGCGAAACGAAAGAAATAATACCAGTTATAATACAAGATACCTAGACATTTCTAGGAAACGAGAATAAATTTGTGATGAATCTAATCTTGCTTATACTAATATACGAAATCATTGAACTATTTGTGTACCTATGTTACCTAATGTTTACCTACAAATTAAATGGCCACAATATTTTGTTATAGGTACTACTGTATTCAAGAGTTACAAATAATGATTACTACCTGATACCTATTCTCTGAATTTATGTTTTTGTGAAGAAAATGCATGTACCTATAGACTAGTATTTTTTAGTGTAATACATTTACAAACAAAGACTGCCTAACATAAATTACTATTTCCATAGCTGTTAAAATGTGTTTATTATAATAAACACCAGAAATAAGAGAATATACACTAAGCAAGTCATATCAACAACCTGCGGTAATTATATGCGATAATATTGCGACGAGAAGTACTAGAGAAAAAGATATGAGCATATACAATATTAAAAATTACAGCCTTAATTACTTAGTACAGACTTAGAATTAGAAGCACTACAAAGTCGAGTATAAAAATAAAATTGTTTTGGTCTGTTTTAAAATGCTGAGAAAATGGGAATGTTTGGAAAGTTTATGGAATAGAAAAATATACTTATTTGAATACTGTTCAAAAATATTTTGTATAATTGCCAGACTTATGGACAAATTTGACATATTGTATTCCTATCTCCTAAATTATATATCGTTCCAATTGTAGCGTTTGTTTTAGCATTTTTTTCTATATTTCCGCGTCAGAGTGACATAAGGCGTTTACGTCACGTGGCAATAGCATACCACACTTGGAGCGAAATGACAATACAAATACAATTATCCTGTTAAAAGGAACAAATTGGCATAGGAATGAGAATAGATTTAAAATACTTCACATGTACTGTGGGTATCTCCACGTTTTATGTTTTAATTCGATAACAAATTGTATGTGTTATTGAAATAAGTGAAGTCAAGAGTTTTCATAGCGCTTTTAAATAAAATCGGTAGCTTTTGGACAGATATTAAGTAACCTAAAGCAACTAAGATAATTCAATTTTTTTTTAATTTTACATAACATACCATCTAAGCCCCGAAAATATTATGTGCGACAGTTATCAATTATTTTTAGATACAGTATCTACACTTAGATAAGACAAGCTCCGGCGCATTTTCGACATATATGCTATAATTTCCAATCGAAGCGTTTTAGCACTGAACAATGTCTAAGTTCCTTAACTCACTTATACTACAAAAATTTATTAGTACTGTTTCATATATCACACTTATCTCCAAACATAACGAACCAAGTACATAGTATTTACTGACCTCGTACCTATGTATAATGTATAGGTATTTGAATCAATATTTTACCGAAAACAATGCCCGACGCTCTTAACCTTATCTCACGTTCTCATAATTATGTGACGTAGGCCTTAATCACCTCACTGCGATTATTCTAAACCCCGGCATTTAGCCCATACAAGTATCCTCTATGACTAAAAATTATTCTCATTCTTGGCACTGCATAATTGGACGAATTAATGTTCGATCAATATTATCACGCAATTTTTAATTATACAAAAAATATGTGCTACTTTTGTAAAAGTTTTGTCTGAATGTAAAAAATCGGTTACAAAATTATTGCCCTATGAGACCACTACAGTATGTAGAAAATTTCAAAAAAACTCCTTACCAAAAGAATTCAGTCGTAATTTTTATGCAAAATTCTTTGTGCAGCTTTAATAAGCGGTGTTAATGTTCTTAGTTCCATGGCACATTCGAGGAAAGGATGTTCTAATAATTCCTCAGCTGTCGCTCGGTCATCAGCATCCACTTGTAAACATTTATCCAAAAAGTCTTGGAAGGCAGTTGAAAGCTTTTCCCATCGAGGTATCTTTGGTCTGCCGACAGCAGCTATAAAGTATAAAGCTCTGAGTGGTGTTTCTTTCATATATGGCGGTTCTCCTTCAATCATTTCAATTGCCATGATTCCAAGGGACCATACATCGACTTTCTTTCCATACTGCTTTCGTTTGACAACCTCAGGTGCCATCCAGTAAGGAGTGCCAACCATTGTCTGTCTCTTTTCATCACCAACAATATTGGCACAGAAGCCAAAATCTGTAACTTTGACAGTACCATCCATTCCAAGAAGGACATTATCTGATTTAATGTCTCTATGAATTGTTCCTTTAGAATGTAAGAATGAAATGGCCTGTAGAGTTTCTCGACAAACAGCAGCTATTTGACCTTCCTTCATAACCACTTCTGTTACTACATCAGTCAAAGAGCCTCCATCTAGTAGTTCCATAGCAACCCATAAGTGTTCGTAACTTAAAAATGCATCCAAGAAGTTCACCAGATTTTTGTGATGGAATCCTTTTAATACATTGATTTCATTAAGAATGAGATCCTTTTTAGTTTGCTTTGTCAAATCAATATCCTTGATGGCAACTCTTGAGTTATCTTTGCTGTCGATTGCAACAAACACAACACCTGGAAAAAGAATTCTTTATAGAATAATCATTTTAAAAAGCCAATTTTATTGACCATAAAAATACTACATATTTATACTATCTGATTAAAACCACATAGACATAAATGAATGTGTTTATTTGCAACTAAGATAAATCAGTTGTTATCTTAATTACAATAAAGTGTCAAATGTATTTATAGACAAGTGGTACCATGCCACAGTGCCATTAAATAATTGCTAAGACAACCCACTATTCCATTACTTTAATTAAACCAAGCTCTACAGAATGAATTATTTAGTTGATTTTTTATGTCCTATAGAAATCTCAATTTTTCAATAAAATTTTATTGCCATGGTTTTGGCCACCTCTGGGGCCTCAATGATTAAATATGGTGCTTAGCATTCCATAAAGCACAGGATATACTGGCTGCAAATCCTGGCAAAATGATATATTGTTTTGGATGGGTAGGGGTACAGAAGTCTGATCAACCGCTTCCCTGTGAGTAAAAAGCATTCAGTGAAACAGATACAATTATGTACCTGCCATACCTGCAGGGGTAAACCTGATTTTACTTTAACCCTGCAGGTATGCACAAAAGGTAAGCTTATTATAGTAATACATATTATTGATAATAGGGCCAAAAGTTACTACATTCAGTGTAACTTACTAAATAACAATACAACATTTAATCACATAATCAAGGTCAACTTTGATAAGATATTGATATCTCTACACTTCTGGGAAATACTATATCTGTATAAAGATTTGACATTCTTGTTGTATAAAAGTAAAAGTTAATGGATCATAAAATAAAAATCAGTAAAACAATATTGAAGCATCAGATGGCATATATATATAGTTTTTAAAATACTAGAGAGGAAAATTTTAGCATTTATAAGAGGGAAAAAGAATAGCAAATGTTATAAACAGATTATCATAATTTTCATGAAATAGAATTTACTATTTTGACCAATATATTTTTTCATTTAGTAGGTGCTCATCCCCTTAGGCCCAGCCAAACAAAATCATTTCATGATGTTCTCTAACACTTATTGCATTAGATAAAAGGCAATACAAGGTATTATAGAACCACATGTGTATTGGTATTCAGTAATGCAAGATGTAATTACCTGAAGCTCCTGCACCAAGTTGTTTAACTCTCTCAAATCGCACATATGGATCATCTTTATTACAAATGTTTCTCAGTTCCTCGTATATTTCTTCATCACTCATTGCAGCATTTATCATTTCCTTCTTCCTTAATATTGGACTTTCCTCTGGTTCATTTCCTATCAATGTTAGGTCTTGTACAACGGCTGTTAAGTCCATCATAGCATCCTTCTTCTTAATACTATTCTTGGTAGGAGCGACAGGCATAGTTTGCCTCTGTGATAAAGTATCAGTGCTACTCCCGACATCTTCCTCACTACTTTGGCCTATGGATATATCTGAATCTTGACTTTGGTGAGCATTTTTTTTGGCTATGAATTTCTTTATTTCTATACCTTCCTTTGTGATTGCTTCTTCTGTTATTATAGGTTTGCATGGTTCCTTTTCCGCTTGCTCCTTCTTTAAAACGTGGAAGTTGTGAAAGGCGACAGCTTGGATGGCAGCATTCGGGTTTTCGCTTTGTTCAGCTGGCGAAATTTGCGCATTCAACTGTCTCAACCATGAGGCTGGTAATCCCTCCAGCATGCCCGTCTCTGAATTCATACTCACATGTATGTGTTGCTTGACGTTAGTCGGCATACCGATTTCTTGAACCCTTTCATCTTTATTTAGATGCTTCTTCGAGAAGAGCTTCCCAAACACACCTCGACCCGAGCGTCCCGTCATTGTTTTCTAAATGCTCTTAGTCGATGTACACACAACAAACATAACCACAATAAAACATAGAACTACATATTTTCTCGGGTTTGAGTGTCATGAATTAAACTAATTAAGTATTGCCAAGGCTCAAGATAGGAGTGGCTAATCATTAATCACGGACGGACAGAATTGAAGATTGGAGGACATTCGGGCAGCTGTGCTTATCAAACGTCAGTGTCAATTGATAGCGACGACAGCATTCGATACAAATTGTCTTTGGTTATAATCGATTGTATTAAACGAACTTGTTGTTTGGTGTTTAATGTTTGATATTTTTCACCATTTATGCAGTAAGTAGTAAGCAGTCGATATAAAATTAGACGAAAATTTATTTAGAAATCTTATTAATGTTAAAAAAAAACTATTTCAATTAACGTTATTAATTAATTTATAATCTGTAGGGTGCAAGTGATCGATTACTATAATTGAAATAATGCTGGTACATCCTTAGAGTATCGGAAAACAGGAATTTTGATATTCGGATGATTCATCACAAGTATTCAATAATTATAACTAGTATGGTATTTATAAAATTAGTACTGAATAATTGATCGCGCCGAAAATATATTTTGAAATCAAAACAATTGCCAGGCGTATTCTAGTATGATAATCTTAAATCAATTTGCTTAATATAATGCTGTTATAATATATTAATATATAGGTCACATAATATGATAAAAAGTACATTACATAGAAAGGAGGAATAAAACTAATCACAGAGTACTTTTAAACATCCCGAGAATATAACACTTATCACTATCGGTTTTGCCATTATGTAAGTGATTTTTTGATAGACCAACATGTGTTATATGGTAAACTAGATTGTAATTTAAAAATGTATTACAACTTATTACATGAATTACAGACATTATTTCCGCGACTATCGGTGACAAAAATAGAGTGATAGGTATGAAATTAGACGCCTATAAATTACTGCAACGTGCAAACCTATTGTTTTAAATTTATGATGAAATTACCGCATTACAAATATTATATTGCATACATACATACCTAGAACACATACAATTACATAAACTTTCTGTATATTTGCGAAATCGATGGATTTTATTTATTCTGAATTATACCTAGTTATGTTATTTTAGAAAACTGGATTTTACTGGGTAGGTACTGATTTCATAATCCGCTCTAATATTATGCCATAATTATAATTTGAATACTGCAAAATTCTTAAAGGAAAGTATTTACTTTACTCAGTATTAATATTATAAAGCTGAAGAGTTTATTTGTTTGAACGCGCTAATCTCAGTGACTACTGGTTCCAATTGAAAAAATATTTTTGTGTTTTGAGAATTTGTCGAGGAAGACTTTGGACTATAAAATATTAGACCGCCACCAACGGGAGCGAAGAAACAGGGAGAAATGTGGTGCAAAAACAGTCTAAGAAAGAATTTTTCTTTAAATAGTCCGTAATAAATTACGTAACACTATTATAGGTCATACTTACATACATATACTGTTGAGATTAACTCTTAGGAACCGTTTAGGGCACTCAAATTTGGCCGAATTGAAGTCATAATTCGCTTGGACAAGACTAAAGCGGTATTTTTACTGTTTTATGGTTCGTTATTGAAAATGTTGTCCTGGCAACACAAAAGAAATATTTCCAGTGCAGTCATTTCTAGTTCAACATTATACATAGTCTTCATGATACGAATAACAATCATATGAGATTACATATATGAAAACAACCCAAATAGAATGTGATCTGTGAACTATTTTATTCATACAGTTGGTAAACAATTCTTTCTGATGTCGGGCGTGTGTTATTTTTAGGTCAATAGCTTCAGGATTTGCTCATCGGCTTAACATGTTCAGATGAATGTCTCGACTGCACGCGTCGGAAGTCAAGCGTAAAAACTAATAAAATGTACAAAGCCATACAACAAGACTGAAGAGGTTATATGTTTCAGGTTTTCGGAAACTCAAAACACACCTATTATGAACCTCTCTATTAAATGTGATTAATAAAATAAATGTGCAACATATTATATAATAAAACGTGAATATCTGAACTTAAAAACTTATTTTACAAAAGACACACGAATGTTTCAGACTAATATAATACTGTCTGTAGTTTACGCGAGTAGTACACATTTAAATAATACACTCAAATAGTTTAAAACTCGATATATATTAGTTAAAATATATTAATTAATTTTCAAATAAGTTTAGCTAATATTATATCGCGTTTCAAACCGGTAAAGTGTTTTCACTTGTATTGATTCCTCATCGCTCAAGAAATATCTTCATGCCCCTGTAACGTTTTGCCCTTACATCAGACATGCCTATTGCAATGAGTTTTATCTCTTGAAATTAGGTATGGCCTAATTTAAATATTTCATTATTACATGACGCGATCGCTGGGCGGGTGTGCCGCCCACAGTCATGTTCAGTCTCGTAGTCCACTCCGCGCGGTCCGCCTGTCGTTTCCCAATAAAAAGTTTATATACAAACTAAGTATACAAGCACGCCTAACAATCTGGGAACGACAAATAAAAAAATTGTGCGTTTCAAACTCTTTGGTGGAAACAGTGTTAAGGATATTACAGCAGCCTTCTTTGTAAGATATCTTCGATTTTTAAATATTTCTTTTAAAAAATTAACCAACCTGCCAGTATGTAAACAGTGTAAAAGTTTTTTTTTAATGTTGTTACACAGACGTAAACAAGAAGTTGATAGAACTCTTTGTTGCTCTAAACAAAAATAATAGATAAGCAGACTAGACTACATTACAGAGGTATGAAAGCGGTAAATGCCAATTTCAACTAATTTATAGACAAAAGTTGTTCTCGATGCTTCATTGCAATGCAACTGGCTTCGTTTAATTTTCAAATGATTTTCTCATTCGTAACATATTTTATTTCGTAATATGTTTGTTACCGTATATGGACTCTAATGCTCTAACGATTGGAGATCTTTTAATATTACGAATTAAAAAAAATGTCACTACAATATGAAGTATTCAAAGAAATATGTAATTTTGCAGCCAAAGAATATTAGAAAAGTATATAAATTAAATTAATCGCTTCTTGGTGACGTGTTACCTAAACGTGTAGCCATTAAAGTAAATAAATAAATAAAAACGACCCACCGTCAAAGGGCAGTTGCGAATACGTTTCCATTTTTCTGAAGTAAAAAAATACTTATCTAATCATTTCGAAATCGCGACCCACCATACACAGATGTGAAAGATGCACTTTAATCATTTGGCTTCATCTATGAATTACGAATCCAAAGCCAAAATAGGTAGACATCGCATTTTGTTTGGATGTTATATGGCTGGGGTATTCCACCTACTATCAATTGAACACCAAGCTTGCCTGTGTCATAAAAAACTCTATTTACACTATAGATCTGACCCGTACATTTTATATAGACGTTACTCAAGTACTATAATTTCCCATGAAAAGTGACGTGTGTCGGGATGTTGGCATGTCGCCATGAAATACGAGTATTTAGCTGAATCGGGTCCACACGAAGGTCAAGTATTTTGGATTATTCGTAAATTATTAATTTGTCTAACGAACTGCAATATGTTTTTTTTTTCAATCGTATTTAAACGTACATTAACCCAGATTGCGATATCTCTACATAATATAAGTAACATTATTGTAAATCTACTTACATCTTCAATTGCCTGGAAGAAATCGGTTTTTAGCGATAAGGCCGCCGTATCGCGCTACATTTTTTTTTAATTTCTTCTAATTTAAGATTATATTGTAATGATGTTTTTTTACAAAAATAGAAATATTTAAGAATTTGTCTCTTCCTGTTGTCTGTTTGGTTCGCTTAAAACGTACGTGTTCTCCTCAATTGAACGTTAAACCGAATTATATACACACATTATAGATACCAAATTTTGACACTTCTTATGTATATTCAGCAGGAAACTGGTACTATAGCAGTAAATAAACATTTTCTTCCATATATAACAACGTCAGGAATCCTGAAAATACTAATATTAGGATTTTGGAATTCCTCTTTCGCGCACGCTTGATCTTATCAAAAGCAACTACAAAGGGTTCAACACCCTATACTATTTTCGTGTTAGTTTATGTTTGCGTCTTGCCGGTTGCTTAGCGTCTAGAATGGTGTTGATTGAGAATCGATGGAATATTATAATATAAATATGATAAACTAGTAACTATTTATGAAGAGTAGTAGTAAATACTTTATTTTACGCGAGTAGTACAATTTAAATAAAACACTTTAACTAATATATCTTTAAACCTTAAATTTTATTAGTTAGTAGCTGTTTACCTTCTTCGCCTACAATGAACAGTTAAGCTAGGAGTTGCAGTCTATTGTTACCGGGCCAAAATGAAAAATATACCTATATGAAATTTTATTAAGCTTTCGTGTCCGTTGATAAGGTCGTCGTGAGTTCGAGTCCTCGCAATGCCAATAAACTGATAGAAAATATATCTAATTGCAATACCTTATCTATTACTAGCTGTGTCAGCGACTTCGTCCGCGAATATCGTTATTTAGAGCATCCAAATTCGTTTTTTCAAACTCCTTCATCTTTATAAACTTAAGCTGTTACCCACGACATCGGCCGCGTCTCTTCCTGTCGTTTTGCACGTTAACCTTCTAAAATATATATAGAGCGATGTGAAATTTTTTAAGCTCACTTAAAGAGGAATCATTCTTTCATACATATTTTTTGGGTATTTTGAACCGTTTTCGCAGCGTACCCTAAACACAATGATGAATAATTTTCTAGTTTTATTTCCATTCCTCTTATTTCTTTTTTATAAGGGATATAATCTATAGACTTCCTTGATATTCTTTAACCAACAGAAATAATATTTATTGGACCCGTAGTTCCCGAGATTAGGGTTCAAACATACAAACAAACAAACTCTTTAGCTTTATATATTAGCCTAGATGAATTAATACTGTTAGGATTGGAAATTTGTATCAAAAGTTGGTCACAAAAGGTATTTGTCCTAAGATATTATAATCACTGATAAAATCACTATTCAATGGAATGCAGATGTCCTCTTAACATTACTAAGCACAAGGTTTCCTCCTACCTCTAAGTGAATTACTGAGAGGCGCCTATTGTAAAAAGCGAAGCCTTAAAATTTTTAACTAAGATAATTATGAAGCTTCTAGAGCTAGAGTAGTAGAGTAGCCTAATAACAAAAAAAATGATTTTCAATAAGGAGGAAAATAAGAATGTGCAATTAACTTAGGGGAAAATAAATTTGTATTATTATTTATTAACGAAGTATGTTAACTATTATCGTTCACTGTGCTCTTGTAGATTAACATTTTTAGACTATAAAAATATAAATCAAGCCATAAAATTGCAGTTAGGTCACTCTGGATCCAGCGGCCTCATATAATTGTGTCGTGTCGTAAACCGTTTCAATAAACTATAGATATGCTAATGAATTAAATCAATAGCTCTACTTTTTATATTGACTAACTTTTTAACTTTTCTCATTTCTTTTGTTCATATCTTCACTTTTTATGTTGACTTCATAATTCTCTCGTTCGATAAAATATTCATTTGATCGAATGAATTGTATGAGTGAACGATATTTTTTATAATAGCGTTATATGAAGATGAGGAAATTTATGTAGATAAGTTATGATATATACTATTCATAGTTAGTAGTTAAGTAGTAAATACTGTCTGTAGTTTACGCGAGTAGTAAATATTTAAATAAAACACTTCAACGGTTTAAAACGCGATATATATTAGTTAAACTTGTTTGAAAATTATTTTAACTACGACCTGACGTTTCCGATGCTTTGCAGCTGTCGTGACCACGGCTAATATATATTGCGTTTTAAACTTTTAAAGAGCGTATTAGTTTTGAACAAATCTATTTTTTGGATTTCTTATGCAGTTACTCGATAGAACGCCACTAACTACTAAGTAGCTATTTTATAATTTTTTGCTGGAATTGCAAAAGGAAATTTTATAATCTCATTTTAATATAGTTCTTATTCCAATAAGATGCCCTGCATATGCAGCAGAGCGTTACGATAATTACGCATATATCCGCACATATGATGCGCATGAGTGCATGAATATTTTTGGATATCCTTATAAAGTACATAGAATCATAATACTCTATAAGTATGAATTTTTAATTTAAAGGATCTTCCCTTTCAGGTGATAAATAAATAAATATATATTTTTTAGATACTTACGTTACTCTTTGTGTACCTATTAAGAATATAATACTAATACACACTAATGAATAACCAATAACCATATTAAACTAAAAAATTTAAAACAGCATATTTTATTTCAATAAATCTATACTAATAATGAAGAGCCGAACACAAGCTGAAGAGTTTGTTTGTGTGTTTGAACGCGCTAATCTCAGGAACTACGGGTTCGCATTGAAAAATGTTTGTGTCGCTTAGCGCATTTATCGAGGAAGGCTATATTATAAGCTATAAAAAATCGCGATGTGACTAATACAAGCTAAGATACAGTAAGAAATGTGAAAAAACGGGGAAAATTATTCACTTCCGACGCGTACACTGCAAAAACGGTTCAACATATTTAATAAATATATATAAAAGAATGATTCCTCTAAAAATGATCTAAGAAAAATCCGTAACGCTATTTGTCTGTATCTTTTTAGATAAACTTGTAAGAACAACGGGAAGGGATGCGACTGATGTCGTGGGTAAAAAAAAGGTTTAAAAAAATGAAGGGGTTTTGTTAAACGAATTTGAATGCCCAAAATAATGATTCTCGCGGACGAAGTTGATGACACAGCTAGTAAAAAATGTATATACTTAAATTAGGTTAGCTGGATTTACAGTTGTGTTATATAATTAAAGAGATAGTAGGAGGAGGCCTCTGTCAAAAGACACACCGAAATTACAGATATTTTATAAATTTTTAACAATGTTAACATTCGGTAAAGGCTAACATTATTATATAATTAAATAGAATTGAAAGTTTTACTTTGATATACATATGAACACACTTGGTTTTGCACGGTACATCGTATGATCTCCTACATCGCAACAGGATCAATTTAACTTGTTAATCGACACAATTGCAGTGTCCTCGAAAGCCACAATCCTTGTTATCGAATTATATGAGTGGGCCTAAATTATGATGTTTTCACTCTGTGCTTATACGTATTAGTAAAAATCTTATTGAAGAGTTCGGAACAAATAATACATTAAGTATATTATCTGTAGATTACGAAAGTTGTACGCATTTTGCACCCCGTGACTACGACTGCTACAAAGCATTCGAAACGTCGGGGTCTTTCTTTAAATAAATCAAATATAAATCAAATTATTATATTTTGCGTTTTAAATTGTTAAAAACGTTTTATTTGAAACAAAGAACTTGTTTTTGAGAAAAATAAATTTTAAACCTCTTTTATTACACACATTAACTACAATGAATTATTGTAAAAAGTGTAGAAGGTTATTTTAAGTTCAAGTAAGACCTAAGTCTAGACTAACAAACATTAGCATTTTGTACAGCTTTATATCGTGTAATACCATCGATAAATGAAGGGAGTAAGGGAAAACCCTAAAGTGAGAGAGGGCTGTATAGGATTATTAATAAGGGCAATATTGTAGCCGCGAATTATAACGAATACGTATGATAATATTTATATTCAAATATTTCCAGGACCTCTCAAGCTCCACCAAATCGACCTACACTGGGCGAAAGACCGCGGACATCGAGATTTCCCGAACAACACGAGTCGGTGGTATCCCAAAATGGCGTCCACCGACAGTACGACCTCCAGCCAAATAACCGTGGCAGCAGATGAGCACAAGCGAACAGTCGACGAGGCATTCCTCAATAAATTGAAGAGTCTCGTCGAACGACTGAGGCTTGAAAACGCAACCATGAAAAAGTCGCTCGACATCGAGCGGAGCGAAGGTAGAGCGCTGAAAGCCCGATACGATAGTGCAATTAGAAATTTAAAGACTGAATATAAGAAGAAAGAGGAACAACTAGAACAACAATTACGATCAATAAGATCTGATAAAGGTGAAGACACTGGTGTTAGTAAACTAGTCGATTTGAAGCGATTGACGACCGAAATTCAGTCTTTAAGAGCAGCAAATAGGGGCCTACAGGAAAAAGTCAAGGTATGTTTTTCTCTAGTCTTTAAAGCTGGAATAATTTATTCTCACTCAAAAACACATACCTATAAAATCTATCATTTTTTAATTATATAATTTGTATGGTATCTGTCTCTCAAAGTACCTATGAAGGTTTAAGTTTAAATAATTTGAACCGCGATAGTGATTTTGAAAACATTGTAAGTAGTAATTCGCATACAAATACGATAATACTTATAAGGAAACCGACTAAAGTCACAATAAATACTTCTCGGAGGTTCGTTACGTTCAATGGCTTTCGTTCTTGATTACTGCCGGAATACAATGCATTTCCGTGGCTGGGATGCTGAGCGTCGTCCGATGTTGTCCAATACTGTAATATTCCACCTTGATTTAAATGACTGAGAATATAGTTCAATCTCTGTAAATATGGGCTCCCATAACGCAAGCCGTAAACTATAGAACATGGAACAGGACAATCCTCGACGATGTGAAATATAGGTCTACCGGCTATCAGATTTGATGGCTTATTGCTTATATATTGGGCATCCGTTTTTCTAAGCAATAGAGCATAAGCAAAATTACGTTGGTCAATTATTTCTTTGATCTTTTGATCATTGACAACTTCGATTCGATCTTGAATTTTCTCGTAATATTCATCACTTATACTTTTATTAAAAATCTCCATATGGCGACCGTGAACACCGAATGTAAAATTAGTTTTAAACAAATCTGATAGTGTATTGATATCTGGTTTAAATCTTGGGTATGCTATAGCAGATGTGATTATACCCTGAAAAAAGAAACAGTTTAATTGATCGTTATTTTGACTATTACACATTTCATTTGCCACAAGTACTTACATCGATTGCACAATCAACAACTAAAGAATATAACATAATCATTAAAACAACGCATCGAAAGATTGGCCCGGAAAATTCTAAATCAACGGTCTGTCTTATAAAGCATTTCCAAAGATCCAAAATTACTTCCGACGTTGTCCTGTTATCGTTTATTCTCCAAACTTGCATTTCGACTTTGCGAACAAGTAATGTTACTAGGATGAGTATTACCACATTGCACATTAGGAGGACTAGCATCTCAGTCGAAATCAATTTTAATGTTGTCTTAAACGTTGACTGTTTAATGGATTTCTTTATTAAAAAGCAAAGCTCATCTTGCGCTAAAGGGTATGATGTGTCTATGTAACCATAGTAAGACGTTTTTAGAATACGGGAATTCAACTCAAGGTCGGTATAACCATCCATTAAATCAGCAGTTACGCCTGTGGCTGTTCCATTTTCCAATAAATCACCAACCGTGTTCCCATCTCTAGGTGGTAATGGCTTGCAAGTAGCATTAAATGTTTTAATTACTGTCTGTACAAATTTAGAACTACAGTCTATCGGTCCAGTGTTATTCGATGTATATAGCTTTCTGAATACGCTTACTTTGAGTTCGTGTCCAAATAGATCATCATACTGCCTTGCAAACACTTCAGACACGTAGGTAACGTTAGTGACATCTTTGATCTCTTTATAAAAAATGTTATATGCGTAAACCTTAAGACGGTCTGACCATAACACCAACACGGAGTTAGTTACTCTTCTGTTCCACAGAAGTTCGAAGTGATTCTTCATAATAAAAAAGAAATAACTGTCCATTTCTACGGGTGTCTTGATAACGAATATAACTGCTGCTCTCGGCTGAAAAACCCCTGTTCTAATGAAAGCTTCTATGGCAAGTTCGCTTTCATCAACAGAAAGATCATTTGCTGTTACAACGTAAGCTGTCTGACCGTGAATATTAATTTTGGGCTTAACTTTTGTGTTATTGTTATCTGGACATCCATTAAGTAGCATAACTGGGTAACCGTAGCCATAGTTCTCGGTGTATTTAAGAATCCTGTTCTCAAAATACGTGAATTCACAGAATGTTATGGTAAAAAACCACTGCTTGTACGCATTAAATATTTTCTTAACCACCTGGTACGCGTATTCGGCTTTAAAATAAGTTTCGTTATGGTATTCGAAAATTTCCTTATAGAGAGCGCTATTTGTTTTCACACATAGGGACGAAGTTGGGTAAGAGAAATAAAATATGATTATTACCACTTTTAAATCCATCTTTACGAGCGTGGTGTGTGTTAGATCATTTCGAACAAACTGCAAAGTTTAAGGTCGATTTAGTATTTATAGGGGGCGTTTGCAATCTGTGAGGATATGACAGTGTGTATAAAAGCATGTCAATTACGGCGCAAAAATAATATTGGCGGCGTTTAATGATCGTGACGTTGACAGATTTCTTCATTAACGTAGATCGTTAGCGTTTTTCGTTAGACTTATATATTTTCCCGTAAAATTATGAAACGAAGCTTTATAAAAAAGGAATACTAAGGAATAAATGTGAAGGACAGAAAAGACGGATAAACTAATAACGTCATCTTAACGATTGGCAAATGTATACTGATATTATCAAGCTGAAGAGTTTGTTTGTTTATGTGTTTGAACGCACCTGTCCCAGGAACTACTTTAATTAAAATAAAACCTTTTTATGTTGTTTGGATGCGATTTAGGCTATAAAACATCAGGCTGCGATCAATAAGAAGAAGATATAGAAAATATGGTGAACACGGGGAAAATTATTCATATTTTATGGTTTTCGTTGCATATACTGTGAAAACGGTACAAGAAACCAAAATATTGGCATTCCATACCATTCTTCTTTAAATTACCTAAAATATTAACGTGTCAAACCCACGGGACGCGACTGACGGGTTACGATATGATTAATTAAGATAAGGTGTTTTTCATAAACCAATTTTCGATGTCTACAATAGCTTTTCTATGCGAACGAAGTCGCAGACACAGCTAGATTTTTATATAAGCCTTATTATTTTTAGGTTGCACAAGCGGCGGAGTGCGCCCGCGCTGCGGAGTTGCGCGCGCAGGTTGCCAAGCACAACGCTCTTGAACAAGCAGCGCGAAGAGACACAAGAGCGCAATGCCACAAATTGGTTAGTTAATAATTTATGTTATTTAAATAAAACACATTAACAGTTTAAAACGCGATATATATTAGTTGCAGTGGTCACGGCTGCTACAAAGCATCCGAAACGACGGGCCGTAGTTAAAGTAATTTGTAAATCAGTTTAACGAATATATTTCGCAATTTAAACCGTTGAAGTGTTTTATTTAAATGTGTACTACTCGCGTAAACTACAGATAGTATTTTATTTATATTGTACAAAGGATCTAATAACTCTTTGCCCTAAACTAAGTGTTTGATTATTCTTATAATTATATTAGATAGTAGACACCTGCGGGGAATTGTTTCCTATCTTATCCATATAAATATTTACACTTAAGGGATAGTTAAGAAGCATATAAGTATGTATATAATGATAATTTCAAATGAGTCTCAGCATATAAAATGACGTTGATAATCGTCAATGCCTTTTCTTTTCTCACAGGCGTAAATTTTTTAACCTATTTTTTACATCATTCATGTTTATGTAGACAAAAGAGCGCTATTTATTAAAATAAATATTTTTGGAATAAAAAAAATAGACCAAAACTTGTTAAATTGGTTGGTTAAATCGAGATGATTCGTGCAAGTGTAGTCGCAGGTTACATACAGGTCCTTTGCGATTTTGTGACTCGTCTTTATATTATCCAAATTTCCAAACTTATTTTCTTTCTTTATAATAGTGGAGTGTGGACCCCAGCCATATTACAAAAAAAAAACAATAAACCTTCACGGCTTTTTCATGTGTACGATACCTACCATACTTTTAATATCCAGATTTCCAGACTTAAGTTTCAGAAAAATTATAAATCTGGTAAGGAACAATTATTGAATTCCACCAAGGAGCCCGTTGTAGTTTTTGATAATTACTATATTTTTAAGTTCTCGGCTAGGGTAAAATAGTTTCAAAGTGTGTTTACTATTTTATATTTCAGCTGGAGGAAATAAAATCGAAGGAGCGTGTTAATATTCAACTGAGGAGAGAGCTGGCGAAGGCTACAGCACAGAATGAACAGGTTTAAAGTGCTCAATTTAGTATTATGTCTAAATGTTCTCAATGCTATAGAAATTATATCTTTTTAAATCATGAACATAAGGAGCATATTCACCAATGCCTTTGTGATTGGAAGAATATCTTTCTCACTTCTATCAAATGGTTCTAGTTTGTACTTTCTCGTCGATTCTTTAGTATACAACTACTGCTGTTAGATGTCAGCATCTTGAGCCAGTTGCTAATTTTTTGCCACAGGCACTGTTTTATTGAATCCATAATACCATTGTAATAATATTGTAAAGTTAAATATTTTTCCGGTTTGCGATGGAAGAAAGATGTCTATTTCAAGATCGATTTTATACTGCTATGCCGACTAACATTATTATTATTATGTATTCTCGAGATCTTCCTATACTTATCGCAATTTTAAATAACGGGTTTGACGGAGTCGTGGAAACAACGATTATTACCAACATTGACATGTTAAACTAAGAAAATAAATATATCTGCTATATGCAGAACCTAAGACACTTTTTGTTAGCTATTTACTAGAGATGGGCCGAGTACTCGGTTGATACTCGGTACTCTGCGTACTCGGCGGTTTTTTTGCTACTCGTACTCAGCCGAGTAACTCGGTTATACTTTGTTATTTGATAACGAGTATACTTTGTTTAGGAAAAACAATATATTTAGGTAGATAGGAATATATTTAGATATCTACCTAACTATATTCCTATTTAATATTAAACAACAGTCTTAATCCAAAGCTATTTATAAGAAATCTTTAAAAATTCTTAATTAATAAACGCGTTTGCAAACAATTAAGCGACTGGCGCAAAACTGTTTATTCTTACCGAGTTACTCGGGTGAAAAAAAATTGAACCGAGTAAAACTCGGTACTCGTTACTCGGCGCACCTCTACTATTTACATATACCTATCATTTACTGCGGACATATATTAACTCTAATAATTATCCAGTAATGCCTACACTTAATATTACTAATTATAATTAAACTTAATTTCTTGACGTTACTTCGGTATGCCTAAAACATGACTAACGGAGGGATTTAATGATACCCAAATATTTCTGGACAAAAACGGATCCTTGAATCGTGTGAAATAGCCGCAGGGAAGCATCTCGTTACCTGATATTTGAAACACATTCAAATATTTCTTTTTAGCTTGTATACTATGTAACCTTAAGTTGTAGTAAAAAGCAACACTAGTCGCGTAATCTTTAGACTGTATTTAGTTTCGTACACTTTGCAAAACAGCAAAATTTTTGAAATTGATATGGCTGTCTCAACTACCTGTCTTAGTAAATGAGAAAGTGCTACCATCAGCAACATTTTTAAGTGCAGTCCAAAGTAATGAGTTTCCCACGGATAGTTACGAATGCTCAAAATCTTATCATGGGATGCTTGACCATTTAGGTTGTTACGTGTACATTCGTACTGTCATGTGGATGCCAATTAAGATAGCCATTTAGTTGAATCTACTGCAATTGTTTCATAGTTATATCACGAGTTTTAAGAACATTTCGGAATTTTTCGATTACTCATTTAGTCAGCTCAATACTACGTTTTATCGGCGATATGTTGATTTCAAAAACCACGTATAAGTAAGTACGAATATTATATAAAATGAATATAAAAACTTAAAATATTTATTTTTCCTGTGTCTGATTCTTCAATATGTTTAAAAATATGACAATTCTACTTAAAATTAAAAGAATATCAGAGTAAACTTACTTTAAAATCCAATCTAAAAACTAAGCAACCAGCATATTTTTTACTTATAATACTATCTATACTATTTTACATAAGCCAAGGTGGTTAATAATTAAGTGAAACGTATTAACTGAGTGTGTATATTTTGATACGGTTAAGGTTTTTTCAGAAATACTCTTTTCTTGGTACCAAAAGGTCGTATACAATTTCAATACCACTAATTATTTTATAATATATCTATACTAATATATAAAGCTAAAGAGTTTGTTTGTATGTTTGAACGCGCGAAGAACTAGGTACTGGTTCGAATTGAAAAAATATTTTTGGTTTAATTAGGAAGTTTATCTAGGAAGGCTATAGGGTATAAAACATTGTGACTAAGCGCTGTGACTAGTAACAGCAAAAAATGCGGACAAAACGGGGAAAATTATTCATCTTTGTAGGTATCGGATGCGTACGCTGCGAGAACGGCGTGAGATTGAGTCTTCTTTAAATTATAAAAAAAAGTCCTCGACGGTATATGTCCCCTAAGAACGACGGAACGCGACCGACGTCGTGGATAACAGATTAAATTTATAAGGATGAAGAGGAGGTTTGTAAAAAGAAATTTGGATGCCCAAAATAACTATTAAACGCAGCCGAAGTCGCTGACACAGCTAGTGTAGGTATTAAAGTTGTCAAATAAGAATGTTTCCTTCTTTGTCATTACAAACATTAAATTCTACAAATTTTAAAGAATTCGCAATGCACAAAAGAGTAAAGAATGTACTAAAGGGACTGGTCTTTTTTCATTTCTGAGATCTCGCATGGTCGTATATGTTCGACCCGCGGCGTGCGGTGCGCAGACCCGTAGAGCGTAGACCGACCCCGGTTACCGTAAAGTGCGCACGCGCGTTAGCCATCTTTAGCTGTCGCTTCTCGCGTATCGTTATAACGTTAAAATTTAAATCGAGTGCTTGACTTAACCGTTTTATATTTTGTGTTTGTGACCTTTGTGTATAATCTGTGTTTTATTTATGACATTTTCCTTACTGAAATAGTGCATTGAGACGTGTTCATTGCTTCGGATTCTAAATTCGGATTTACTTTCTACTGCTGTGAGTATCTGATTGTTTCTAATGCTATGATTAGTGGAGAAAGTAAAATTTTAACTTTACTAAAAATGTTTTTATAAGCACGTAACTGCATTCTTAAATTTGGTATTAATGTAAATATTATTTTAATACTCTGTCACTTAAAACAATGACCAGGTACCAAAAGTATTTATCCTGTTTAGATTAAATTAATAAGAAATTCTAATAATACTTCCAAAAACAATAAAATTAATTATCCACTCAATAATACTACTTAATTGCTTACCGGAAAAATAAATTTAAATAGGAAGCGTTATGTTTTTTTGATATCTGTTAGTGTGTTAGTAACGGTCGAATCTACCTAATATACTTTTTGTTGTAAGGCTATTGGCCTTAAGTTGTGCATTGACAAAAAGGTTTAGATAAAAACGACTTCAACCAAGCTAACTTTTTCACATTGATAAGGTCAATATAAAGTTAAGAAAAGGAGATATAAGGAAGTTAATCTTTTAACATAAATGTTTTAGGGCGACGATAGTTTGTACTTTCTTTAACCATTACACATAAAGCAAGCTAATAATTTTCATAGTTGGCTCAAAAAACATTTTTTTTTCAGGACAATTCTATTATCTATGACTCTATGCTGTTATATTGTATTTCTAGATTCTTCATTTCAAAATCTATATTTTATACCTACCTATATGGAAATTTGAGTTTTTAACCCGAAATCCCTAACCTAAAAAAATTCTCTCAACGTTACATATAGATACAATTCTTGGAAAATGTTCTACGTTATTAGAAAGTGGAATATGAGTTTCAATAATAGTAATTTACCTGTCCACACATCAAAGTTCGTTCTTTCAGTGCCCAATTGCTTTCACTGTCCTCACAAATTCAATATAAAAGTAATAATTATCGCTAGTAAGTACTACGTCGAACAACTCAAGCATAGAAAGCATTTTACGATCCAGCTGACTTGTTGAATGACAGTTATTTATTATCTACGCTGCTTGTCTACTTGTTTTTATCATTGTCTATGCCCCGTGGTTGCTTATTTGAAATTAACACATTGTTAGTTTTCCAGGATGTAACAAGCAAGTAATCGGTAATTCCAAACATGACAAACCTAGGTGTTGATTGTTACGCGGGTTGTACATATTAAATAATAGTACATAATGAGAAATATTAGTAATAATAAGACACTGTACTTCCGGTATTAATGAAATAAAACCAAGAAATATTTAAATAAAACACTTTAACGGTTTAAAACGCGATATATTAGTTAAATTTTTGTGAAAATGATTTTTAACCAAGAAATATATTTAAAAAGGGCGTTTTCTGTGCTCTCATTATTTTTTCTACTTGCATCCACAAGTTCTCCATAAAATATGTCCACGTCCATACTGTTTGTTAGAAAGTTCGTGAAACAGTTTGAAGGACATTTTTCTATCGTTTGTAAAGTTTTTAAAATTATGTATGACTTTTAATGTTACATTCAGGACATTTAAATGTAACATTATATTACAAGTGACTTTAATAATAGTAATAACCATTAGCAAGATCTCTTTACTAGAGAAGAAATCTTTGCAATGCTGTATGGCATAGGTCAAGTAAAATGACTAACTGACAAATAACTTGTAACGTGAAAGCACACGCTCGATAAACATTCCCTTTAACAACTCTTCATTTACAGACCGCTTTTCATTTGCCTACACAGAATATATTTTCTGCAGACAATTCTACAAAATGGTTGTCATATGTCTATGTGGCCTGGTCAACAAACATATTCAAACATGACAGAGAACAGACAAAGTCCATTTGATTGAAGGTGACATACAGACTTACATGCGAAATTTAGAAATCCACAGACTAAACCACGATTGATTATTAGCCATTAATTGACCATTAGACCAATGAGCCCAAAATCCCCTTCGACCCGTTCAGTAGTTATACAAAATTCCTAATTAGTGTTAAGTGAACTATAAAATAAGATTCCTTATCAGAGGCGAAAGTGATAAGGACAGATTAGGTGCAATGTAGATAGATGGTGTATTTGAGATGCAGTTGATATACACGTCAGGTTGTGTTGTGATAGTGAGGAAATTTTGGTGGCCTAATTTTAATTTGTGAATCTTACTGGTGAATCTGAAAAGTGAAGACAACACTATATGTAAAAGAAATATGCATGTTTGTATCTAAATTTAATATATGTAATTGT